CAGCTGCAAACTTTGTCTTGTCCAACCAAATTTACATACAGGAGCAAACAGGAAACTTGCTATAACATCTACAGCAAATATAAAATTTGGTTAAATGTAGAGGCACTAAAATAGAAAAGGAAATGCTTCAAAGCGCATGTCAAATTGACTGATTGTAAACAAGGTCAATGTACACAACTCCACATATTTAAGAAAACAAAATTATACTAACAAAAACCTGGAAAGTCCCCTAGTCATCAGAGAGTTGGTGGTGACTAAAAAAAATAAGAGAGTAAATTTCAGAAAACCCCATGTTTTATGGTCAAGGTTGCGGAAAACCACATGTAATATGACTTGTGGCACATACCCAACCTTTATTCAAATCTCGATCTAAAACAATATTTTTCAGAGTAGTGAAGACTGAAGAGTTAAACTATCAACCTTAATCAAGAAGTCAATAATTAAAAATTTTGCATACATGCTATGTTTTAAAATTTTAAGTAAAACCATACTCAACATTCATAGGGCTGGGGTTTTGTGAAACTTTATAACCATAATACCTGAGGTTTATTTGCCACCAATCAAAATATCTAGGGTTTTATGCAACTTACCCATAAATCATGTGGTTTTGTGAAATTTACTTCAAAAAATAATGTTCAAGGATGAGTGAATACACTATCATCTCTGTGTAATCAGTTAATCACTTGATGCCTATTCAAATAAATGCAATGCAGTGTACAACAAAATTGTAAAGACAGAAATAAACAAGGTACCCCTGAGACTTGCAGCTGTTTCTCCCTTGACATCTTCCATGCCTCCTTGTTGATCTTCTCTACCATCTAATTAAAGAGTGAGAATTCAATCAGTAAGATAAAAAAATATTTTCATATGTTAGTAGTACACAACAACATAAACAAACTGCTGAAAACATGATTTTGGTTGTTTTAATGGGGAAATTCAGGATTACTTTTTCCAACCGGGCCATCTTTGGAAGCCTGATGGACGCCACTGTTTATGATATCCCCTTTATCAATTGCTTTTAAGATGGCCTAAAAACATAAATAGAACTGTGAGATAAGAAACTGTACTGCAATAATGAGATCATCCCACTTGAGAAAATTATAGCATAAAATTACCGCTTCATCAGTAGTAGGAGCAGACAATGCTAAAGGTTCCAAAGTTTCTTCTTGCATAAATGCAGAGAGTTCCTCACAGCCACCAAGGGGCATCTTGAAGTCAGTAACATGAGAAGTTCTGTATATGTCAAGCAGTTTCATTCTACTATATCTAAATGCTGTGCGATCTCCTGATGTACCACCAGGCCTGTCAGAAAGTAGGCCAAGATGGAATGGACGTGATGATCCTGAACTGGCTGTGTTTGTACTTCCAGATGTAAATTTTCCACGAGAACCTGGAAAACTTGCAATTTCATTGTCTGGCTTCCCTCTACCATATCCATATGTTGCAGATGATTTTTGTGTATTCTGTGAGGGATGATGAGATGAATCTCCCCGTCCACGGCCCACAGGATAACTAGATTTCCATGATCTAGAAATATTATCATCTCTTTCAGCATCCTTCTCATGACTGTTGCCGTCTTTTCCATGAGCTATGTAGTGAGAGAAACCTTTTTCACGGGCAGCATCACCATCTTTGCCTGAATCACCCCATCTGTCACGCCAATTCTCAGACTCCTTATCATTAGGGCCCCTACGAGCACTCCATTTGTTATCACGGCGTTGATCATAGTTTCCCTCCTTGTTACCGGAGTCACTCCAACGTTCCTGTGGAGGACGACGACCATCCACAGAGTACTTGGAGGAGTCATCTGACCACCTTTCCAGTTTGCGTGTATCACCATGTTCCTTGTCTGTCTCCCTCCAGCGATTCCACCGAGGGGCTGAATTTGGTTCTCTTTCATCATCACGCCAGCGTTCACGACACCCAGTTTCACCATCAAGCACAGAGGCCCTGAAAACATCCTTTCTTTTCACACTGAAGCTTGTGTCCTCATCATTTCCTGGTATCTTTGAACCATCTGAACGAACACCCAGTAAACTGGGTTCCTGCCACAAGCAATCAACGATCTTCAGTATAGACAAGCAAAAAATAACTAATAAGAGAGGTTATTATACACTTAAAAGGTATCCTACTGTTACAACCATCATGTATAGTATTAGCATGACCAGTTCCCTAAGTCTAGTTATTAACCTAGCTTCTCAATGTCTAACCTTGTTTTCTCCCACCTTCATAAGCCATTGAGGAGAAAGAGGCATCTCAGTATCCAGTCCTTGCTTGTCTGCAAAAAAAAAATAGTATCATGAATGAGGCATGGAACATGTTCTGCTGACAAAGAAAATGTATAGAACACAGATTGCGCCATTAATATGTGATATTACCAACACAACCATTCCTCTCATATGTTTGTAACAAACAAATAATTAACCAAATAAAGGACCAATGGTTGACTTGATAAAATGAAAGGCTAGAATAATATACCTCAAATCAACACAACTAGATCAGGGTTTTGGACATTAGTTCTACAACTTTTTACCACAATATTGGGCCTGTTCGGCTGCCAGGGCTGCGACGCAAACCGTAGCCAACTGGAACAGTCCCGCAAGCACGAAGACAGCAGCGGCTGCAGCCCTTGCTTGCCGAACAGGCCAATTGGCACAGGATGCAAATTTAAATCAAACGGGTTTCTACAACAACACGTAGGTTTTTTCCACATGTTGAGTAATCAGTGAAACAAGCTGTCATCCTCTACACATAGCTACATCAAATCCAAATTTCTCACACAACAACGGGTGTGACATGACATGGCACATGCTAACAACATCAAAGCATAAGTTACCAACAACAGCATATGCACATAGAAAAAAATATAAATCTGCAAGCATACACAGCAGAAATCAAAGTAATAAAATGCAGGGAAGAGAATCCATCCCAGCCAAATCAACCGCACAAAACCCCACAAATCAGACGGAGGTTAAACTAGGACCATTGCATCTAATCCACCCAAATCCCAAACCGATTTCACTCAACCACCCAAGGTACCCGCCCTTAACACGCCCCCAACACCTGCCTCACCACCAAGTCCAAGTGAGGGGAGGGGGGGGGGGGACAACCACCATTTCCCAACCGCCCAAAAACCCCAAAACTCCGGGAACGGCGGGGCGGATCGAACGACCGAACTGGAACCAAATCGGACCGGCCCGAGCAACCACGGAACAGCTAGGGTTCCGGCCCGGGGGAACGGATCGAGAGGGAGGGGAGGGGAGACGGCGGGGGGCTGAGTTGGGGAGGGACCTTTGGCGATCTGCGGCGGTGGTGGAGGGGCGTCGACGGCGAGGCGGCGGCGGAGGTCGGCATTGGCGCGGTCCGGAGTGGCGGCCATGGCGGCGGCGGCGGCGGCGGGGAAAACCCTAGTTGGGAGGTTTGTGAGCGAGAGGAAGGAAAGAGGAGGCGAGCGAGCGAAGGGGAAGAGTCTGTTGCCTCAAGCCCGGATAAAAAAGCCAGCCGCACGCACAGCGTGCCGCGTTTCCTCGAGGAGGGGCTCTTTTTCGCCTAAGCCCCTTACTTTTGTAGAATTATCCTTTACAAATGTTCAAGATGGGAGATGAATTCCTAACTCCTCTGTGTAACTTTTTATATCGGTCCATCTCCCATATCGATATATTTTCACGGATACGTTGGGTTGTTTGTAACATTTATTTGTAGCTTTAATGATGTCTATCTTTGAGATATGTATCGTGTGTAGATTTATATGTATGTTAGGATGACTCATTAATGCGTAGATTTAGATATGGATAAAGAGTAGCGCCAAACACATTAGACGGTCCAACCGCTTTAAGCGGCCGCGTGTGAATGTATAGTTGGCCCATGAGAAACCCCTAGCTACTTTAGCATGTTTTAGGGGTTGGCAATTCATCCGCTTAGGCCCAGGCCCAGATCCAATCCAACTATGGCATCTCGCCTAATATGTGTTAGTTTAAAATCTCATGATGTGTTGGCCCACTGAGTTCGATTTTTCAAACCTCTCACGATGTGTTGGCCCACTAAGTTCGATTTTTCAAACCATGTTAATGCTTGATATATGCACATGTGAATGAAAAACCTAATCCATTGCGATAGATTAAAGCTAGCAAGCAACAAGTGAACTAGGAAGTACTAACTGACTGTAGGCGACCAACATTTGAAATATTTTTTTATGGCGCACCGTCGTTGACAGTTTAGATTTTTTCAAGGATGTCCTTGCATGATCAGATAGTATCATTACAAGCTAATAATCGCAAATGTGCAACCCATTAACCTACTTCCCTAGACAATATATAGACATACAATATTATGAGACTCGATGCTTTCAAATTCCATATGTGATCATGTAATGAACTCTCGAGCTTTCATGCTTTCCATTATCATCCATTTTGTTTCAGGACACATGATTTTTGGAATGCTAACTCAAGAGGACTCAAAGAGATCGTGGGTGAAAGCATAATTTATTACCTTTTCAGTTTCAGCAGCTGCACATAACAGATTTAAAGAAATAGAGAGGGCGTAAACCATACTTGCCTGCATACACAAGAAACTTACGAAAGGGCATGTAGCCTAGTGGTTACAGTGACCTGAGTAGTACACCAAGGTTCTGAGTTCAAATCTCCTATGGAGCGAATTTTAGATTGAGTTGTTTGCGGGGCTAAGTTCCCTATTTCAATGGCCGTATATATCCGGTTGTATGTAGAGGCCGGGTAAAAAATACCCTTCTCTAAAAAAAACACAAGAAACTTAAAAAAAAATCTCTAGGTAATATCTCTACTTCTCTAAAAAAAACACAAGAAACTTAAAAAAAAATCTCTAGGTAATATCTATACAAATCAAAGGGCCTTCCAGTAAAATGGCCTGCGTAATGACCTGAGGAGTAGTAGCACGGCCGGTCAGAAAACTGACGCTAGGTGTCCCCGTATCACGCACACAGAAGTGTAACCGCCCTTTAATTCTCCTCCTCCTCCACGTCAGCTTTTTGACATGCAAACTGCCGCTCGCTGCAGGCAACTTCCAAACCGAACAGATTGCAGTACAGATCGTGCAAGAATAGCAAGCGCGCCAAAATGGCACATCTCGCGCCATGGCCTTTCGCCTCAGGTACATTACATTGGGGGTAATTAACTAACTGCTCGATCTTTGATTAATTAATTACCCCCCTCTTGATCAAATTTGTTCAATTAATTAGTTGCGCGTTTGGGTCGATCGATCCAGTGCGTCCTCTCCTAGATGTTGTTGCCAAAATTTTGCATGTAGGTTACAGTTCGCATTAATTTCGCAATTAATTTTGCTCGATCGTTCTTGCATCGGACATGCATGAAAATGTGCTTCCTCTTTGGTTTTTCAGATCGATTGATTCGTGTTGAAGTTTGGAATTGGAATCAAACAAAATTGGGTCAACAATCTTCAAAAAAAAATTTGTGATGTTCTATCGTGAATCCTCTGGCCGCGCGTCCAATTCATGATCATGTCTTCCGATCCCTCGCCGTCGTCGCCGAGGGGCACCGATTCGCCGTCGACGTCGATGGCGGATTTCTACTCGCCGTCGCACGCCTCGAGACGGCTGTCGACGTCGATCACATTTGCCGGCGGGCTCGACGTGACGTCGGAGCTCGTCATCGCCGCCGTCGCGGCGGCGCTGCTCCTCGTCCTCCTGTTCGCCGCCTGCGCCTGCTGCTCCTGGTGCTGCAGGAGGAGGTCGGCGACGCAGCGGTGGCAGAATCACCACGCCGCCGCCTTCGGGTACCAAGGTGAGGCACACGTCGCGCACGCCATTGCTGTGACTTGCCATTGCTCGTCGTGTTCCTGACCATGGCGACGTCGACGGCGCGACGACGACGCAGGCAACACCACGGCGTACTACTACCACCACACCGGCGGCGCGAGGCCGCAGTGGGCGGCGACCAAGACCGGCGCCCCGTCGACGCCGCCGAACATGATGATGCACCCGACGAACATGACCGGCCCGCACGTCGTCGTGCGGCCGCCGCTCGTGCCGCCCCCGCCGCCGCCTGTTCCGGCGGGCCTGGACGAGAACGCGTTCGGGTACGACGAGCTGGCGGCGGCGACGGGCGGGTTCTCGGAGGGGAACATGCTGGGGCAGGGCGGGTTCGGGTACGTGTACCGCGGCGTGCTCGGCGACGGGAAGGAGGTGGCGGTGAAGCAGCTCAGCGCCGGGGGCGGGCAGGGGGAGCGGGAGTTCCAGGCGGAGGTGGACATGATCAGCCGCGTGCACCACCGCCACCTCGTCCCCCTCGTCGGCTACTGCATCGCTGGCGCGCAACGCCTCCTCGTCTACGACTTCGTCCCCAACCGCACTCTCGAACACCACCTCCATGGTAAATAGTTAACATGATAAAAGACGGGTAATTCACTTATACTTCAATACCGTACATGGTTACTTACTTCATCGTGAACATGATAAAAGATGGACAATTCACTTATACCTTAACATTATAACACGGTACATAGTTACTTACTCCACTATGAACATGATAAAAGACGGACAATTCATTTATACTTCAACGTGTACAGAAAAGGGGTTACCGGTGATGAAGTGGACGACGAGGTTGCGCATCGCGGTCGGATCAGCAAAGGGGCTCGCCTACCTGCACGAGGAATGTAAGTTGAACTCCGAATTTTGATCAGTTCATCGATCAATGGTGGCTTTGGTTCAGTCTGTGATAATCTCCTTTTTTTTTTTCTGTTGAAGGTAATCCTCGGATCATTCACCGTGACATCAAGTCGGCAAACATTCTCCTGGACAACAACTTCGAGCCACTGGTAAATCAAATCATCGATCAATCAATCGATCATATGCTGTGTTCTGCAACATTGTCTCGATGGATCGCTGACTCTGAGACCAATTTGGATCATCGTGTTTAGGTTGCGGATTTTGGGATGGCGAAGCTGACGAGCGAGAACGTGACGCACGTGTCGACGAGGGTGATGGGGACGTTCGGGTACCTGGCGCCGGAGTACGCGTCGAGCGGGAAGCTGACGGACAAGTCCGACGTGTTCTCCTACGGCGTCATGCTGCTGGAGCTTCTCACCGGCCGCCGCCCCGCCGACCGGAGCTCCTACGGCGCCGACTGCCTCGTCGACTGGGCGCGCCAGGCGCTGCCCCGCGCGATGGCCGCCGGCGGCGGCGGCGGCTACGACGACATCGTCGACCCGCGGCTGCGCGGCGAGTACGACCGGGCGGAGGCGGCGCGCGTCGCCGCCTGCGCCGTCGCCTGCGTCCGCCACGCCGGCAGGAGGCGCCCCAAGATGAGCCAGGTGGTGAAGGTGCTCGAGGGGGACGTGTCGCCGGAGGAGCTCGGCGACGGCGCGCGGCCCGGGCAGAGCGCCATGTCGTCCAGCAGCGGCGACTCCAGCTCGGGGTCGGGATCGTACACGGCGCAGATGGAGCGGGTCAGGCGGACGGCGGCGTCGCCGGCCAGCCCGGAGTACTACAGCAGCGAGTACCAGGGTTACGGATGCCCGTCGCCGGCCAGCAGCGCCGGCGACAACGCGTCTTCCGGCGAGCATGATAACCAGTGGCGTAAAGCTCACCGGTAATTAACTAGAGCGATGCTCCGGTGTTCTTTACTGCTAGTATATATACTATAATTCTTTATTTGTGATAAGTATTTCAATACTATAGAAACAAAGGCAGCTAAAATTCTGTAGTTGTCATTAGTTACCTTGACAGTGTTATCTGACATTTCAATTTTGAGCTAGATATATATTGCGTGACTTAGTAGTAGCCCAAACGAAAATATGCAAAAAATGATTCAGATTTTCAGGCTCATCTGTCTAATGGGGAGACTACGAGAAGTAAATAGAAGGTGTCAATCAGATAGCTTTTATTGAAAAAAGATTTATATAATGGAGGGGGTGTTGATTCTGCATGAAACATTAAACGCAATGTACCGGAAGAAGCAATCTTAAAAAATTAATGGAGAATAGCTAATATGGTCCCTAAAGTTTCGCTCCTGGATCATTTTATTTCTTAATCTTTTATATTATTCAAATAAGTCCTTTAAATTTGTCATGTAGGCTAACATAGTCCTTGGTCTCACCAAAATCGCCACATGGACATGCCATGTCACCTTCCTATGCAAAATCTATATGATTTGTCCAATTTACCCTTACGCATAGGAAAATAAAAAACAAAAGGAAAAATTTAAAAAAATATATGGTATATGTAAGAGCAAAAATATACCTCAAAAGGGTGAAAAAAAAGTATTTTTTTCCTATGGTTATGTCTAATTCACCATTATATTTATTTTTCTATGATATATGTAAGGGTAAATTGGACAGCTCATCATAGATTTTACATGAATGATGACATGGCATATTCATATGATAATTTTGGTGGACCCAAGGACTATTCTAGGTCTTATGACAAAGGTTAAGGATTTCTTTCGACCATTTAAAAGATTAGGGACTAAACTGATCCTATAGACAAACTTTAGGGACTAAAGTAGCTATTTTCCCAAAAATTAACTTTGAAAAGGCATATAACAAAATGACCATGTGTTTATAATATGCTGAAAGCAAAAGATTTCTCTGATATCGAGTGTGATTGGATCTTAAAGGTGATAAAAGGAGGTAGCAGCAATGCAGGAGGTCGACAGTGGCTGCAGGGCAGAATTGCGTCGTGGTCTTCAGCGGCGTTGTCCTGCGGCGGCTACACCGGCTAACTTCTCGCCGTATATATAGCAAATTCGGTAATTTAAATGGAAAAAAAATCACTGTATCAGTGTTGGGCCGATTTCAGCCCATTACTTTTCCTCCTGTATCTCCCTCCCTCCCTAAAGAGATTTGGGGGATAATGAAATGGGCCAAAATAAGCCCAAGACTAGAGATCAGATGGGTGGACTGTTTTCTTCCGGAAAAAGTACACCGGAGGTCCCTGAACTTGTCACCGAGATACGAAAACGTCCTCAAACCGCAAAACCAGATATATGGGGTCCCTTAACTATATAAAACCGGTCACCCGAGGTCCTTTAGTGGTTTTGACTCCGGTTTTGGTCTACGTGGCGGCTGAGTCAGCGTGGGACCCATCTATCAGCATGCCACGTCATCACTCACTCTCCTCTCTCTCTCTTCACTTTTCTCCAGCACTGCGAAGAACACCGCCGGCACCACACCACCGCCGCCGCCGCCGGCCGCGGGGCGCCTCGTCGTCCAGTGCCCCAGCGACCGGCGTCTCTCAATCGAGGGTGGGGGTGGCAAAGGTGCAAGCGAGCTCGAGCGATGGTCGAGGCGGCGAGGTGCCGGCGGCGGGGGAGGAACTGGGCGGCGTCGGCGGCGGGGGAGGAGCTGGGCAGCGGCAGCACGGAAGAACTGGGTGGCGGTAGAGGAGATGGGAGCCGGCGAGTGTGCGGGGGAGGAGCTGCGCGCGCGAGCTGCCATCATCGTCGTCCGCCACCACCTCGCTCCGCGCCACCGCCTTGCCGGCCTTCTCCGCCCGCCGTCGCCCCACTCCTCTCGCCGCCATGCTTGAGCTCGTCCTCTTTTATCTCCCCCATGCTCCTGCCGCCACCTTCCTCTCCTTCTCCCGTGCCGGAGCACAAGCCGCCGCTCCTCGGCGTCGACGGCTTCCTGATCCAGCTTTGGCCGCCCGACGCCGCCGAGGTGCTCGCCTCGCGCCTCGGCATCCACCCCTCCCTCCGTGCCCTCAACTTCGCGATGCGCTCCGCCCTCCGTGCCGCGCACCTTGACCTCGTCTTCCGCCTCTTCTCCCCCGACTTCCTAGGCGACGCCGCCATTGTAGCCTTCCTCGTGCGCGCCTGCTCCGTCGAAGGCCGCCTGCTCGACGGCCTCCGCCTCCGGCGGGTGAGGAGCTGGGCGGCGTTGGGGAGGACGAAGGAGCAGTCGAGCGATGGGAGTGCGTCGATGGCGGCAGCGGCGGCGCGGATGAGCCACTCGATGGCCTTGCTTGGTTGGTCGACGCCGAGGCGGTCCTGGATGTCGTAGAACGCGATGGCTGTCGGCACCGACAGCCTGACGCGGCGGTCGGGGAGCCCCCGTGACGTCACCACTTTGCTGTGCTTGTCCTTCTCGCCCGCCGCTGCGCGCGCCACCCGGCTCGCCCGCCACGCGCGCCGCCGTGGCCGCCGACGCCAACGCCGACGAGCGCGCAGCGCAGGAGCTTGCGCTCCTTGCCGACGACGACCTCCTCTATGGCCGACGCTTGCGCTAGCTCATGCGAAATCCGCCTCGGCTTCGTCTGATCGATTTTAATGGAGGCTGCTTTAGCACCTCATGCTCCTGCCGCCACCTCCCTCCCCTTCTCCCATGTCGCCGCCGCCGCATCGCTGGCCGGCCGTCCGACCTCCTTGTCCCGGTGACCTCCCCACCGCCGGCCGGCTTGCCCAGAGGGAGATGAGTGAGAGAGAGAGAGAGAGAGGAGGAAGGGAGGGGGGGGGGAAGAGAGATGATGACGTGGCGTCCTGACATGTGGGGCCCACGTGGATCCCACGCTGACTCACCCGCCATGTAGGACAAAACCGGGGTCAAAACCACCGAAGGATGTAAAACGAACGGTTTTGTAAGTTAAGGGACGTCATATATCTGGTTTTGTGGTTGTGGGACGATTTTGTAATTCGATGACAGGTTGAGGGACCTTCGGTGTACTTTTTCCTTTTCTTCCCACTCCTTGAGAAGGACTGAAATTAGCCCAATACTGATTGAGAGATTTTCTTTCCTTTTATGTTTTTAAAGTAGTAATTGCTGAAACAATCCTTGTTTTATTAACATTAGTAATGTAGCTCTGAAACCTATTTTAGTTCATGGAGTATTTAGAAAAAAAACTCACACCTTGATTTATTAAGAAGATTTTATTCCCTTGTTTACTTCATTAAACTTAATTGATTTACACATTACTATAGAACTCCAAACATATTATGTAATTTTAAAATTCTTGCAAATTCAGACTATTGTGTTTCAATGAAAAAAAAAGATATGATAGTGTTTTCAATGAAAAAAAAGATATTTATGATGAAACAAAATAACATTCATCACGATACAATGTTAAACTAGCTTATGACGATTTGTCCTTAGTTTCAGTGACGGACACCTCATTTTCATCACTAAGCGCCACATCGCTCCCTACCAACCGTCGTAAAACTAAATAACATAATACTCCCTCCTTCCCTAAATGTTTGACACCGTTGACTTTTTTAAACATGTTTGACCGTTCGTTTTATTCAAAAGCTTTTGTGATATGTGTAAAACTATATGTATACATAAAAATATATTTAACAATAAATCAAATGATAGAAAAAGAATAAGAATTAACAATTACTTAAATTTTTTAAATAAGACGAACGATCAAACATTTTTAAAAAAGTCAATGGCGTCAAACATTCTGGGATGGAGGTAGTAACAAATAACTTTCATGGCACGAGAAATTCGTCAAGAGAAGATCGCATGCGTTGTAGTGTGGACCAACACTATCTCCTCTCTCGTCCTCACCACACCGTATGGAATCGAGGGCAAGGAGCGAAAAGCCATAACCCCGCCGCATCTTGGCCTTTGGCGGCGGGAACCCATGGTTAGCCAGTGTCCCCACACCTAATCGCCCCCACGTAGCCCTGGCCTCCTCGTCGTCCTCCTCTCTCGACGACCGATCAGCTTGATGACTCAATGTTTGTGGTGGTGGCATCACTTACTTGTCATCAGAAAGGGAGGTTGGAGGAAGAGAGATGTCCCCGAGTTAGAGGAAGGACACGATGGTCATTTCCCCTTAGATGTGGTAACATGACACCTTGCATGCTTAACGATGGCATAAGAAATACCCAATCTTCAATGGTGAAAAATCAGAGTTTTCCGAGAGAGTGATATTTGAGAATACATCATCCGGGAGAATGACATGAAATCAAAAAGAAAAACCCAAAAGAAGATGGGAGACAGAGGTAGAGGGAGCTAAAAAGGACATCTCATGCTGTTTTTTTCGTCACCTTGTTGTAGTCTATCATATTCTGGTGCCTACTGCCTGGAGTGTCTAATTTATAATGTACATGGACATAATAAGAGCGTCACTCATATGTAACAAAGCCACATTTTTCATTATCTTTCAGCAAATGCTAGTGTCACATAGCAAACTTTGTCACTCTATTAATATCAAAGAATATATTTCTATTTTTTTTAAAAAGGGAAATTCAAAGAACGAGATGGACCGCCTTACGCTGATCTATGGACTGGCGTTGTGTCCAACGTCAGAAATCCGATTGGACATCGGAGCTCTAGTCACGTCCCCTAATACAGTGGATATGAAGGATCAAGCTTATAAGTGATACGCTGGTACAGTGAATCATACAGTGATGCAACTAAACATTGTATAAATCACGCTCATAACTGTTGCATAGGCACGCATGAACGACAGTAGCATACAAAGGATGAAATTTGTCTTGAAGAAGAAAATACATGACAGGGATACTTACCATGTTCAATGATACACAAGCAAAGAGGGCTCTTAATTAAGTTCCTCCAATATTCTGGGACAGCGATATAGCAGTACCAGTGTGCAACACCAAAATTAACTGCATAATCAGATAAACAGAGTGCTCTAAAATAGATAAAGGCACTAGGCCAGCTGGTGATCATCTAAAACTCAAGAGACTAGTACTAGACAACAGTATCAGATATACTACTCGTTATATCTGATGAGAAGGGCAAAAATTCCAATCGCTGCGCCCAAGCTAGAAGCAACCATTGCCCTCTTCAGCTTCTTGTATGCAGCGATCTGCTCCTCCGTGCGCCTTGCAAAAAGAAGATGTGAATAGGTGTTAGTTAGCACATGGATGCCACTAGTTGGGAGTATATCGCACACGAAAGTATAAGGAATTAGGTTGCCTGTTATATAGTACCGTGCATCTTCCTTAACCAATTGGGCAAAAATCCGAGACCGCTCTTCAAAATACTTGTCCCCAAGCAATTCAAAACAGTTGTCATCAACAGGAGTTTTAGTCTTAGAAGATGTCATGCTGCTCAGCTTCTCCTACAATACCATCAAAGTAAGAAACAAAATCAAATTGCCTGTTAGTATTTCACCGTGAATTTAAAAAGTTCATAATTTTTTTTAGCAAATTAAAAGATATATTCTTTTTCGCAGGATGCATAAATAACTCTACAGGTATACGTATGCACTACAGTCACATTGAATCAATCAATCTATCTATCTATCTATCAAACGCTGGCAGAAACACTGCAAGCTGATTGGTTGATTTGGTGTGCAATAATATGTTGACATGTGTCTATTCCCTCTATTATATTCCACAATCTGGAAGCAAGGTAAAAAAGGCAAAAAAAAAAAGCAAGTACATTAACAACTTCCAGAGCTTCCCATTCTGGTGGGATTGAAATAGATCTATTATTTCCTTTGCATAAAAATAGTCTTCTTTAGTGCCAACTATTAGAATGTTGTAGAAAAAAGAGAGAAAATAAAGATTCACCCTCGAAGAAGAAAAACCAAATTTTCCATCTATGCACAGCCTCTATACTTAGAGATCAAAGCGAAGGAAAGCTAAAAATAAGATTAAAAATGTGAACCAAAAAGAAATAAAATGAACCGAGGAAAGAACAAAAAACAGCAAGAGGGTTGCCTTCTGCTTGATAGGTCACCCGCAACTAATTTTATCAAGTACTAAATTTTGCTATGTCATGAGGTTTGTGGGCATCAAAGTAAAACTTTCTATGTAATTCATGTGCATATATCAAACTAAATTGTGCTAAATCAAATGTGTATGCACCTCTATTAGGTAAATTATGTGATTTTTACACATCCCGAGTAAAAATTATGCAGAGGAGAAAAGAAAATATCCGATTCTACCAAAATAAATTTCTATAATAAGATAATTAGAAATCTGTTGATCTTCTAGAAGTTAAATAGGGAATTAAAAAAGTGAATAAATATTATGAGAATTAAACTATGTGCTGCGTAAAAATTGTGAAAAATATTACGTTCTAAACAGAACACAGGAAGCATATGCATGCAAATTTTCATGTGTTAGAAAAGATAAAATGAAAAAATAAATTAAGAATATTACTGCCCTGTTTATGACGTCCTAAAAGTAAACCACAAAACCCCAAAACCATCTTAGATGATCATTATGTAGAATATGTAGAAAATAATATTTGTTATTAGATATTACATGTCAGCCTCTATGTTAGAGGTCCAAAATGTTATATAAAAACTTGAAAACTAACATAGATACGTTCTGAAAGTCTGTAAACACGTACTATAAAAATAAAATAGCCCGTCGCGCCAACCGATGTGTCTATTTTCAGTGGTTGATTATAATCATTCTCAAGACAAATTAAACATTTTTGAAAAAAAAAAGGCTGGACTTTTTTTTCCCTCGAAACTAAAAGCTCGCGAATCGGGGACTAATTGAACAGCGTGCGGTGATTGAATCGGGAAGATGAAGATAATTACGGAGGAGGAGGGAGGGGGAGAAGGGGAGGGAAGACGAAGAACACCTCGGGGTGGAAGGAGCTCGACGCCGGCGCCCGGCGGAGGGTGGCTGCCACCGGCGGCCTGAGCTTCCCGGCGAGAGAGCGCAGCGCCATAGCCATGCCGATGGCTTCCGGTTGCTGGGCGTCGAGATCCCGGGAGGGAGATGCCTGCCTGGCCCTAGGGTTTCGCTCCTCTCCTCCTTTCCCCTTCGTCTTCTCCTTCCTAATCCTTCCCCTTGCTGTCGCGCACGAACCAATCAACAAACCGAGTACTTATTAGCTAAGCCCGGTCTATAGACCGTGGCCCCACCAGCCAGTCTATGCAAGTTGATTGGAGAAAATTTGCTTTTGAAGCCTGCAACGTTGACGTTTTTAAGATTGGAATAAGTTCACTTTGGGTCCCTCGGGTCCCTCTATTTGTTGCCCACTCCGATTTTCGTCCTTTGACCGCAAAACCGGGTATGACCCATCCTCCAACTTACGAAAACCAGTCAATTCTCGTCCTATAGCAGTATGGAGGGCGGTTTTAGCTGAGCTGGCACATTGACCGTCTGACGTGGCACGCTGACTGGGAGCGACAGTTGGTGTGGGGTTAAATGAGACGGAAAAAAGGGCGCGTGTATTATCACTTCTCCCATTCTCCTCAGTCGAAAACCCTAGATCGAGCTTAAGCGAACCGGCGGGCGACCTCGAGGGCGAGCTGGCGGCGGCGGAGGGCTCGACGGGGGGCACGACATTGGGCTCGGCGAAGGGCGAGCTGGCGGCGGCGGAGGGCTCGAGGGGAGCACGCCACCGGCTCCGGCGCAGGGCGCGGCCGAGGCCCGCTCGCAGGGCACGGCGGATGCCGGCTAGGCTAGGGGCGGTGCGGAGGCATCGGTGCAGGGCACGGCGGTGCATAACCTCGGCCGACATGGGGCAGCTGACAAATCAATGAGTGGCCAGGTAAATTTCTTTGCCTTTTGGTGCTGGTAGTATTGGGATTGAGGATTCCGTTATTTAAGTTTGGTGGAGGAGGATGATGTGTTGGAGTCGGTGTATATTAGGAGTAGTTTAGTTAGTGCTTTTGCTGGATCTGTGCAGATTGGGGCTATTTTATTCGTTTGCTTGCAGAAAAGATGTGTGCTTTGTTTTTTTTGCATGTTTAGGACAATTGTGGGTGGAGCTAAGTCATTTTTTTATTGCATTTTGCATGTTAGGATAAGGCTATTGAAGGCATGGACGTGCTTGATACTCTTGTGGTGAGGTTCCATATGAAGGGTGATTTTGTGACAGAAGGAAGGGAAAAGAGCTATGTAGGTGGTGCGGAGGCATTGTTTTATGTAGCTAGGTAGAAGGTGACATTGAGTGGGATTTTTGCACATTTGCGTGAGCACTGCAGGGTGTTAGAGGGCACACTTTTGCACTGGCTTTTTCTAGGGAAAGATATCCAAACTGGGATGCGTGCTCTACTGAGTGACAAGGTGTGCCAATTCATATCAGACTGCATTTGTGAGGGAGGGGTTGCATAAGTGTACGTTGAGGAGCCTGAAATAGTGGACTTATGTGATGATTCAGACAAGGATAGTGATTATGAAGCTGACATGGAGGTGGACGGTGAAAAGGAAGAGGATTGTGAAGAAATTGCTGCAGATGTTGAGCCAGAGCAAATAAAAGGCAATTGTGTGCAATAAACAGTAACCCAAGAAGCTCAGGGTGATACAAGTGCACTAAAGGGTAAAGCTGTGCAAGAATGTGATGAAGATGAGAGGATGCTTGTGGTTTATCACCCTGATTCTGCCCCCTTGCTAGTGTGCCACCCTCTGAAAGTGAAACTGACAGTGATTACATCCCAGGAGATGACTGCCCTCTGATGATGATGAAGAAACAGTTGAAATAGAGAAGCATTTTAAAGAGGTGAAGAAGAAGGTTAAGACAGCACAGTTAGACATCTTGGATGATGTGTTCTTTGTGGTAGAGAGGTCCAACCCTAGTGACAGACCAGCTGCAGATGAGGGGGATGAAACCCCTTATGTTGACAGTCAATATGATGACTCAATTGAAGAAATTGGCAGTGATGGAGAGGTTAGGATAAGGAGAGACAAGCACTGTAACGCCCCGATTTTCGTTCGGGAATAAAAATCAATTAATACATTTTCTAGAAATTAAATAAAAGTTAAATCAACTTAATCAAGTGAATTATTGAGGGAATTAAAAATTTCCTTTAAAAATTATTGGCCGGGAATATTCTGTAATTTTCTTTGTGCCCTAATGTACTCCGAAATTTTCCGTGAATTTTCGGAGCTCGAGAAATAGTTTTAATAGCACAAAGATCATTGCATCAATTAAAATAAAAAGAAAACAAATAAAATCCTCCTTCCTCTCTTTGGGCCCCTTTCGGCCCAATCCCTCCTTTCTCTCCCGCGGCCCGCGCGCCCCCTTTCTCTCCCTCTCGGGCCGGCCTCCTCCCTCGGCCCGCTCGGCTCTCTCTCTCCCTCAAGTCCGTTCTGCGTCCCCAGCCGGCCTCTCCCTCCCTCTCTCTCCGACAGGTGGGACCCGTGGACCCCACCTGTCATCCCTTTCCTCCAGCTCCAACTGCCGCCATGGCCGCTTGAGCCACCCCACGACGCCGCTTCCTCCGCGCGCCTCCACGCTCCCGCGCGCGTGCAGACGTGGTCCACCCCACGTCCTCCCCTTCCTCCACTTTCTTCCCCATTTCCCCCCCAAAAATCGGCGCCGTTCGAGCCCCACTCGCCCACGTCGCCGGAGCTCCATCCGTCGGCCGTTGCCGCCTGCCACGGCCACGATCTCCCCCTCCGGGGCCTATAAAAATGCACCCCGACCTCCCCTCATCCGTTTCCCCAACTCACTGCCCCCTCCCGCGCGCTCTCTCGAGCTCCCCACGCCACTCCCGTGTGCCGCCACACGCCGACGACCCTCCAGTCGCGCGCCGTCGCCGCTTCCGTCGCCCCCGCACTGCGCCGCTGCCACCTATAGCATCGCAGCGTCCCACCGCACCCCGGCATCCGCTCCATTTCCCCTCCCCGCCTCTGAAACACCGTCGCCACGCGCACCACCTCTCTCCACCGTTTTTACCACCTCCAGCCGCCGCTTGGCGCCGCTCCTAACCACCCCAAGCAGCGCCGCCACCGCCGCTCGCTTCGCAGCGCCGAGGAGCACCTCGGCCGCCGCTTTTCACGGCCAGGATCCCGCCGGGACACGGTTCCCCTCGCGCCGGTCCTTCCAGCCGCCGTCCGCCGGTTCCCGCTCGCGGAACGCCGCCGGGCCGCCGTTCCGCCCTCGTCCCGAGGAGCGCCGACGCCGAGCTCCCTGCCTTTCCCCGCCCCTCGTCGCCGCGTCCTTGGTGAGCTCCTCCTCTCCCTCCTTGCCTCCCTCCTCTGTCTCCCGTGCGCGCTGCCGCGCCGGTGGCTGCCGCCGGCGACCACCTGGCCGTGCACCGCCGCCCCGCTCGTCTGGGCCGCCCGGACCCCCCTTGTCGCACCGCGTCGATCTCGTGCGCCGCCGCCGCCCATGCGTGCCACCTCTCCCGCGCCGCCCGTCGGTCGCCGTCGCCGGAGACCGCGCTACCGCCGCGCCATGGCTCAGCTAGGCCGGCTTTGTGCCGTGCTGTGCCCCAGCCGCGCCGCCCCTGGCCGCCCGATCGGCTTGGGCCGATCCGGACCGTCGGTTCCCGTGGACCGGTGGTGGACTGCCTCGGTGGTCCCGGTCCACGGTGGACCGGCGCCCTTGTGCCGCTGACCGGTGGGGCCCGCTTGCCGGCGCCGCCCCTCCCCTTTGATGACGTCAGCAACCCTCTTTTCCTTTGGAAAAATAAATAATAATTGCGTCATAATTCGTTAATAATTCTAGAAATTCATTTAAATGGCTCAAAACTTCTAAAATTCATATCTAATTCATTCGAACTCCGAATTGAGCCATTCAACTTGCAAAATTCATCTAAAATTGAGCTCTACATGTTTGTTTACTTTTTATGTACTGTTTCCTTGGTTTTTATTAGAGTTTTTCCTCGTTTTGCGTGCCTGCGTGTAGAATCCGTCGTTTCGGAAGATCACGGTCGCAAGGATAAGAGTTCGGAAGATTGTTTGAAGAAGCAAGGCAAGTCACACATTCCCCTTGAGCATGTTGATCCCAATTTATAAATGTTTTACCGTTTACAAATAAATATGCATGTTTTGCTAATTACATGGGATCCGGGTATTACCTATCTGCTCGCTTGTGCCATGTTTACTTGATATCTGTTCTTTGTCAACCTTGGGTAATAAATCGACTAGCTCATGTTACTTATGTGACCTAGCTAGAACTATATGCTTAGCCATGCTTAATTACCACTAGCTCAGTTGATGGGGTAATTATCGTATTAGACCTTTTAGTATCTAAATGAGCTGCGTGCTCGAGACATCTGGCCATGCTTCATGGTCGTAATTATCCAACTAAAATGCGACTGAATGGTGGGCTGTGGGTGCATGGTTTTGCTGGTCGCACCCATGGCAGTTAAGGACCGGTTCGCGGGATGCCCTGGAGAACTTATCATACTTACCACAAGCCAGCGTGGGCAACGGCTGGGCTTGTAGTGTAGCTTTCCTCTAGTCGACGCATCCAGGCAAGGGTGGGCGTAATGGAGTGGGGCGGGCCCTGCGACGGCCTCTGTCGCTTCCGGATTCACCTAGGCACGAGAGGGGACTGCCCGTTGCCCGCTGGGGATGGGGGTGAAACCTGAGGTGTGGTGTGCTTGGCTAGAGGGGGTTATGCGAAGGGTCCTGTCACGGCCTCTTTCCGGTATGTCGTGGTGGCATGTCGGCGCACGGAAACGTGTCGTGGGGCTGTGTCTTATGGGTACAGTTGTACACCTCTGATCAGAGTAAAACTATTCGAATAGCCGAGCCCGCGGTTATGGGCGGTCAACCAGATTCACCGTGATTAGTCCCATCTTAATAAATCGACCCAATACATTGTAGTTCAGGTGGGTTGGTTGGGCCTGTTCAACGTGGTGTAGCGTTGATCAGTGGAGATTTAATGTTACTTTAATTACTCAACAGTTTTACTGTTTTGCTCAATAAAATGTTTTACAACCGCCTTTATGCAAATAGCCACAAACCATCCTTGTATCCCCTTGCACATCTGCATCGTTGGTGTGGCTTGCTGAGTACGGTGGTTGTACTCAGTCTTGCTATTATTTCCCCCTTTTCAGAAGTGTAGTGCTTCTGAGCTGAAGATGGAGTTAGAGGACCAAGGCTCAGACCCCAGTTGAGTTTTGCCTGTGGAGTGGAGCTGAAGCTCCGCTAGGATCGCCTTTTTCCGCTGCTGTCGTTCTGTTTCGGTGTGAGGACTAAGTGCCTCTTCCGTAAGTATTTTACGCTTTATTTACGTTTGGAACTGTATATTACTTGTCGTTTTGTGTACCCTGGCTGGTCCTGGACAGGGATTTAATACGCAAAATAGTCTGGAAATTTGGGTTAAATTTCTGGGCGTGACAAAGCACCCTAGGTACAAGAAGAGAGAAGGGGTGCTTGTATTTGAACTAGGCATGAAGTTCAATGGCAAGAAGCAATTTAAGAAAGCCATGACAAGGTATGTCCTTGCTGAAAAGAAGGTGGTTAATTTTATGAAAGATGATCACAAGAGGGTTAGGGTCACATGTGACTGGGATAGCTATCCATGGGTGTGTTTATTGTCCAAGAACTCAAGGTCAGATAGTTGGCAGATTGTGACTTATGAGAGTTTGCATGCATGGTCCACCAAGGAGGGATAATAAAATTGTCACAACTGGCAGGATAGCTGAGAAATACTGGAATTCATAGCTGCCATCCCTTCATGGAACTTGTCACACATGAAGGCCACAGTACAAGAAGAGATGTTTGCTGAGGCCTCTATTTCCAAGCTGAAGAGAGCAAAGTCTATTGTGATGAAGAAACAGATGGATGCCACAAAAGGACAGTATCAGAAGCTGTTCAACTACCAGCTTGAGTTGTTAAGAAGTAACCCTGGGAGCACAGTGGTGTTTTCTATTGGACTAACTTTTATGTTTATGTAGGGAATTCTAAATGCTATTGAGAAATGTGCCCCTGAAGCTGAGCATAGGAATTGTGCTAGGCATATCTATGCAAACTGGAAGAGACATTTCCCTGATAAGCAGTACCAGAAGAAGTTCTGGAGATGTGCAAAGGCCCCATGTAGAATGCTTTTCAATCTTGCAAGAGCCAAGCTAGTTCAAGTTACACAGGCTGGAGCCCAGGCCATCCTCAACACCCATCCACAGCACTGGAGCCGAGCCTGGTTCAGGTTAGGTTCCAATTGTGATTCTGTTGACAATAATATGTGTGAATCATTTAACAAATGGATATTGGAAGCAAGGTTTTTTTCCCCATAATCACAATGCTAGAAACCATTAGAAGGAAAGTAATGGTTAGGATAAATGATCAGAGGAAGAAGCTAACTAGATGGACCACTGTGATTTGTCCAGGCATACTAAAAAAACTGAATGTGTACATCATTGAGTCTGCTTTCTGTCATGCAATCTGCAATGGTGACAATAAATTTGAGATCAAACATCATGACAATAGATTCACAGTCCAACTAGACATGAGAGACTGTTCTTGTAGATATTGGCAGTTGGCTAGGTTGCCATGCCTTCATGCGATTGCATGCATCTACTACAGAACAAACAACCTAGATGATTACATTGCCACTAGCTACTCTGTGGAATCATTCAAAGCCACATATGCACATTGCCTAGAGCCAGTAGAAGGGATGTCTGCCTGGCCTGAGGATGATAGGGAGCCCCTTACTGCTCATGGGTATATCAGAATGCTTGGAAAGCCAAAGATAGAGAGAAGGAGAGAGATGCATGAGCCAGCAAAGCCCACAAAAATGTCCAGGTTTGGCACAAGGCTGAGATGCAGCAAATGCAAATTAGTTGGGCACAATAAGTCCCGCTGTGGGAAACAAAATAGTGGGACGGGTCCTAGCACAGGAGGTTCTAAGCCACCAACAACTCAGAATCAGCCACCATCCATTTAGAATCAGAACCTGGTTCTGTCTAACACAACTCAAAGCTATGCTCAAAGTAGAAGAGGAAGTCAGTTGCACTAAGTGGACAGAGTTCAAGCCTTCAAACCATGCCCAAAAAAGCTAAGACAAAGGTAATTGTGTTGCACTGATTTTACTTCCATATGCATGAAAAATACCATTACTGCTGCTGTGTGTCATACTGTCTTACTTCAATATGTGTTGTACTGGTTTTTTTGCAGACTCCTATGGATTCCTAGAACAAGGTGAGGGTGAATGCCAAGGCCAAGGTTTCTGCCCAACATGGTGGTTCAGCTAGGATTGATCTACAAGCAATTGTTCCTTATTCACAGAGTTCTACCAGTGCATCAGTGAGAGTCACTTCAGGGAGTGCTTCTATCTGCGTGTCAGCTGAGGAACCTGCATATGCCAAATCAAGGAGGAAGACAAGCGGTGCCTTGCTGCTATTGCCATGGGAGTCTGACAAACTTTGATGAAGATTGTAACCTTGTGATGTTATGCAACATGTGTGTTGCAGGGCATGCAGCCCTTGTATCCAGTAGTACTATTGTTTAGTCCAGATGTTATGCAACCTTATGTGCTGTTTGGCTGTGATGTTTGGCCATGTATCAAGTACTCTGTCTTTTGTATTGTTTGGCTTCCATTTAGGAACCTGTATGAACCCCTGTCAGACATATTTATGTGCTTATTGCCAGACTTTTGCTTCATACTTGTCAAATTGCTACTATGCTGCTATATGTGAAACATTTCGGTTCCATGCAGATTTTTGCTTCATACTTGTCAAATTTTGAGTTCCATCCTGATATTTGTCAAATTTTAAGTTCCATCCTAATATTTGTCAAATATATATCATTTCATTTCATTTGACAAATTTTGAGTTCCATCTGTCAAAACTATTTCCTTTAGGACCACAACTGTCAAGGTTACAGATAAGGTATACCCTCTATCCTTGGATATACGTTGTATACCGAGACGGTATACCCGCGCGTATACGGATAGTTCCTGTATGCGGTAAGGAAATCTATCACGTAATAGAAACGAAGTCCACAGATAGAAAGAATCCTACTCGGATAAAACTGGGTCGTTACCATATCGTGAGGGGTCCGATATCTCCGAGTTCTACTTGGAGATCAATTGATCCGCGGTATAAAAGGGACCCCCCGGGTAGGACCTAAGTCATCGAATATCACTGCCAACACATCCACCACAGCCTACAAAGCCGGAGCCTACAGGAGCCAAGTCGCCGGGTGATCTAGTCGAACCAACTCGACTACGATCTCGTCGATATCATCGAATCCCACTATTCCCTTTGTAATCTGTGATTTCCATCATATAATCCCATATCAACTGGATTAGGGCTATTACCTACAAAGGGGCTTGAACCAGTATAATCCCTGTCTTTTATTTTGCTTGATGTCGTACTACGTAGATCCTCGTTCCAACGTACCCCCAATACCCTCTATATCCTGTCTACGGGTATCCCCCGTCAACAACAACAGCAACCATTCAACCATTCAACCATTTCTTTTCATTAGGACCACAAGATTGCAAATTGTGACTTTCGTCCAATAGCAACCATTCAGCCATTTCTTTTCATCACTTCACAAGATTGCAAATGGTGACATACAAGTCCAGCGTACACAATGCCACTTTCACCTCACACAATTTAGCATTTCATCAAAAGACAACATTAAGGTCCAAGCATTCATACATTGCCAGGGGGGGTTCATCCATACATACATGGACAGCATACAAAATGTGCTCATACAACATTCATACATTTCCAGCTTTCCTACATTATACTCTTCCCAAACATGACAACAAACAACACAAACACACATGCCACACTACATATTACCATAATATTTCTCTCTCTCTCTCTCTCTCCACCTTTCTATTCCTATCTTTCACACAACACAATTCTTTCCAAATTTCAAAGCAGTTTTGCCTAACTGCTGCAAGCTCAGCCCTTGTTTCTTCAATCCTATTCGTATCCTCTACCAGACGCTCCCTGCACTCCTCTACCTCCTGCCGCAGCTGGTCCTTCTCCATCCTAAGCGACATCACAGCATCTCTCAGGTCATTCAACAACTCTCTAAGAAAACTGCTCGTCAACTTGTCGCACCAATCAAAAAAATCACATCCCCCATCCTGGAACAGTAAAACCTAACATTGAACTCACCAAATCCAACCAAAATCGAACCAAAAAAACCAAATCACTCCAAATCGACTGCTTACCTGAGCATTGCGACACTTAAAATACCGCCGGCCAGGATTATCTACGCTCCAGGATATCCATCTCGCTGCTTTCGCCTTGCAACGACAGAACACCGGGGGTTGATACTCCATTGGACCTACCCGATACGGGACAGGAGCAGGCCGTCGAGACGAAGAAGACGACCCGTCGCTCCTTGAGCTCGCCATCGCTGCACCGCCCTTCCCCGAGCCCTCCGCCGCCTCACGCCTTCCCCGCCCTCGAGGTCGCCCGCCGTTTCGCTCAAGCTCGATCTAGGGTTTTCGGCTGAGGAGAACAGGAGAAGTGATAAATACACGCGCCCTTTTTTCCGTCTCATTTAACCCCACACCAACTGCCACTCCCAGTCAACAAGGCCCACAGTGGTCAGCGTGCCACGTCGGATGCTCAATACGCCAGCTCAGCTGAAACTGCCCTCCATACTGCCATAGGACGAGGATTGACCGGTTTTCGTAAGTTGGAGGACGGGTCATACCTGGTTTTGCGGTCAAAGGACGAAAATCGGACTGGCAACAAATAGAGGGACCCAAAGTGAACTTATTACTTTTAGATTTACAGACATATAGTTGGCCAAAAGGCCCACAGCCCGATGGCCCGGCCCATGGTATGGAGATTTAGCCCGGCCTAAGCACGGTATGGCCTAACTGTTGTCCGGGCCATGTCGGTTCGACCTAATCGTTGGGTCGTGCCTAGGCCTCTTCCTCGGTATGACTTGCCGGCCCGGCCCAGCATGGCCCAACGATAAGCATAACCGCGACCCGACATCCTCCACTCCTGTAGGCCATAGCTTGTCAGTGGCCGGCCCAGAGAGATGAGGGAGGCAATATAGACTTTATTCTAGCCATATGTAAGGTGCAAAGAGATGAGGGAGGTAAAATAGACTTTTTCCAAGGACAAGCACGTTGGGCCCATCATGCCTTTTGGCAATAGGTGCAACCCGCGTGTGGGAACAGCACGACATGGCGTGTCGGTCAGGCCATGCTGAGCGACCAATTTGGCCATATATATATATCACTAGAACTTCCTGGATAACTTTAATTGGAGTTGATCTTGGCAAAATTTGCTATAGGACACTGAAAAATCTATGGCTTTTGCTACGAGACACCCAAAAAACGCATATCTTTTCGTGGACATCATAAAAATATGATAATTAGCCGCTGGACACCCCTCACATTATTTTATTATATTCGGGCTAGATGGAGAGAGAAACTTAAGTAAAAGGCAAGTTTGCCCTTGGGCCAATGTTGTTTAACCCAATCGCGACATGTTTGAAGGTTGAAGCAGACCCATTCGCCCGTTCAGTCTCATGATCCCCTCTCCTCCAAACTGTAAGTTTAGGTGCGTTGATGACAGTGTTGCAACGAGCTGCATCGAGGGTGGCGAGCACTAGTGAGGGCGGCTGTGGTGACGGCGGATTCAATTGGCGCTTTCATATTCGAGGAGAGCGGGGCGGCAGAATCAAACGGCTATTCAGGCAGCGGGGAAGAATCAAGCAGCAAGATAGAGTGCCCACCGTTTTCTTCACCCTAGGTCACCACTTTTCGGGCGACTTCCTCCTGGGAAACGACATTCCAGCGACATCGCCTGCGACCCTGAGCTCACATCTCTATCAATGCTGACCCCGTACCGCTTCAATCCACCACTGCCCTGACTAGAGCTTGCTAGGGGTGGCAATTTCTCCGTTGGGGCCGGGGGCCAATTTTCACCCGCGGGTGAGCGGGGACAAGGCCCCGCATGTTTTCGGGGACGGGGGCGGAGATCTATCGTCAGCCACTCGCGGGTGACCCAGCGGGTCCCCGGAGTATAAGATAAGCGTCAAAATGTAGCCTATTCCAACAATACAAGCCCAGTTGGCCCAATAAGTGAGTCATGTAAAATCTAAACCCTAATTTCTCAATCCCCACATCCCTTACTCCCACTCCCCTCACCCATCCTCCACAGCCACCACCGCATCGCCTCCGCATCCGCTAGTCGCCGCGCACCCGCGCCGCCTCTGACTTCGCTCATCGCCATGCCACTGCCTGTCGCCGCCTCCATTCGTTGCCACGCCGCCGCCGTCCCTGCACCGCCTCTGCCCCTTGCCGTCTTTGCTCCGTCTCCGCCCGTTGCCGTCTCAATTCCACCTCCACCCATCGCTGCACCACCTCCGTCCGTCGCCGCACGACGTCCGCCTAGCCACGCCTCCTCCTGCTGGCGCACGGCGACGCCTCCACCTGCTGCCTCCTCCCGTCACAGCGGGCCCCCGCTCGGGTGGCGGGGCCCCGGAGGGGCCGAGGACGGGGTTTGATTTCGACCTGGCCACCAGTCCGAGGACGGGGCCAGGTGGACCCACAAAGGGGCGGGGACGGGGTTGGTCCAGCCCAACCCGGCCCCGCCCCGCCCCGTTGCCATCCCTAGAGTTCGCCACCGTTGACGCAGCTTGCCTCCGCACCGTCGGTGCTGCCCCGAAACATAGGGTTATAGCAAAGGGGATCGAGTGTGTGGGGAGTGGGTCGGGTCTGGTTGGAACCAGTGGCAGTCATCTTTACAAGCCGAACGACCCGTGGGACAAAATGGTACTTTCAACGTTCTTTCTCTCTCCATCTAGACGTGATATAATAAAATAATGCGAGGTGTGTCTAGCAGCTAATACCACATTTTTGCGGTGTCCACGAAAAGATACGTGTTCTTTGGATGTCTCATAGCAAAGACCACATACTTTTAGTGTCCTATAGTAAATTTTGCCTTTAATATATCTAGCAATTATGCCCATACGTTGCAAAAAAAAACTAAAATTATACGGAGTAGTAAACATTAGATGATTTGGGTATATTTTCTATGATATAGATCCATGTCAATTCTATGGGTTCAACATAACCTTCATCACAATCTAACGCATAGACATGAGCAATGCAAATAATCCTAAAGCAAATTTCAGCAAAAGGAATAGCTAAAACGGAGATACAACAAAAGAAAACGGATAAACTGAAAACCGAATAGAGATTCATATGACAACAAATCATTTATAATGTTAGAAAATTGGAAGTGAGAAAAAGCTTGTATTTATTTTTATTTAAAGGGGCGCGATAAAAATATTGGCAGGGGTAGGTAGACAAAAGTGCTAGGGGCTTGGACTTGTAGAGTCACTGTCACAGGCAGACGATAGAGTGTGAACGACGAACGAACGTTCATGCGCGAGAAAACTGCCTATCTACCATTCCAAAAGAATGGATTCGTTGAAATACCATCGCTAAAACAGGCTTCAATAAAATACCACTCTTAACCACGATGTATTAGCTGAAATGCCATCTTGGACTATTTTACCATTGGGGTTCTTCTTCCTCCCCCAACTCCTCATCTTCTAGTTCGACGCCCTCGGTGGGGCGGCCATGGATGAAACGACGGCGCTCGCTACTTACAGCCAGCCGACGCGGTGGAGGCAGTGGACGGCGACGGTGACGCCCGTTACTTGCGCACTTGCCCGACGTCCTTGGCGGTGGTGGTGGACGGGGATGGGGGACGGCGACGCCTGTTTCTTCCACCGGTGCTTGTTTAGCGCCCTCGCGAAGGCGGAGGTGGACGGCGACGACGCCCTCGGTGGCGGTGGTGACGATGATGACAGCGCCCGTTAATGTTGCTACTTCTGCTCTTGCCTGGCCCCTCGGTGGTGGCGGTGGATGGCGACGGCGGCGGCGACCGCTACTCCCATGCCAGCCCGGCGCAATGGCAACGGTGGATAGCAACGGCGCCCTCAACTAGCGGCCTCGGTGGCAGTGGTGGACAGCGACGATGACGCCCGATACTCTCGCGCCTATGCCCACCACTACTAGTTGCAAAACTCTTCTCCTCGTCAACTCAGCTCTTCTCGCAGCCATGGGCACCAGTGATGTGTATGGAGGAATACGAGCGAGGAAGAAGTCCAGGGGTAAAAATGGTCTAAGGCCTGTTTAGTTGGAGGGACTAAAACTTTAGTCCCTAAAGTAAAACTTTAGTCCATTCACTTTAGTCCCTAAAGTCCCAAACAGGGGTGACTAAAAGAGAATAAAAGTGTATTAGTCAATTAGTCTCTATGGGAGGAGCGTATAGAGACTAAAGTTGCTTCTTTCCACCCACTGCCCCACGCACAACCCTCTCTTTGCATGATTTTAGAGGTAACATGGTCCTTGTACAGTGTAATTAATGACCTTTAGTTCCTTTTAATCCCTACATCCAAACAGGTATGGACTAAAGGATCCAAACACCCTCTAAGATGGTATTTCGGCCAAGTAGTCCTAATTGAGAGTGGTATTCCATCGAAACCCATTTTAGTAATGGTATTCGAGCGAACACATTCTTTTGCAATGACAAATATGCAATTTTCTCATCATGCGCATAGCGAGTCAAACAAAGGACGAAAGATTGACGAATGTACGATGAAATCGATCTGGACTTGCGAATCACAATGATGATGTTCATGAAGTCACTTGATGCTATATGCATTTTATCTCCAACAAAACATGGACTTTTCTACTGTATGTTCTATATAGCATACAATTAAGAAAACCAAATAAAATATAGTACTCTGTTTTTATCACCATGCATATCAAAGTAACATCAGTGTAATTAACAATACACGTTTGCTTACAAAAAAACATGCACGCTAGAGGTTTCATAAGAAAGTCTTAATTAAAAGTCATAGTTATAATGATAATAGCGGCAGTCGATGCATGGTTCTCTTATCTAGCTGTTTCAATCCTGACAAAGAAAAACGCCCATCACAACAGTACCAACAACGCATCCAGAAGCAGCCGCCGCAATCACAATCCTGTTTTGCCTCCTCCGAAATGCCACCATCGGTTCCGCTACCACTCTTTGGATTTAGAAAGAGTAACAAAAAAAAAGAAAACAGATGTTATTTCAATAAAATATACAGTAAAAGACAATTACAATGCTTTTATATAGCCTCTTACCGTGCTCTCTCATTGATGTTCTCAAACATAATGCGAGCGTCCTCCTCAGCATTATGGAAAGTAAGGGGCTTAATCTTAGGATTTGTGTTGCCACTCAACTTATCCTACAGTTCCACACATGAAGAGTAAATATAAGTTAGACAGTGGCTTATCCTACAGTTCCACACATGAAGAGTAAATATAAGTTAGACAGTGGCGAATCCAAGATGAAAATGGAGGATAGACTCAAAATTAGTGAAAATACTTTATAAATAAACAATAGGAGTGTTAAAAGTATATAGTGTTATGCAAATCAAACTTAACATATACTACACGATTGGATGGGCCGGAGAAAAAAAAGAACCTCACCGATACATGGTGTATCCACTTTGCCATTAATCAAATACTTTTCAAAATACGCAGAACAAATCACTAAATAGCCTCATTTGATCACTACTATACTTTTTATTGACTGCCTCTGTTCAATCGCTGTGGCCTGTGGATAAAAAGCATAGCTCATCGTTGTTGTCATCATTCTCTCCAGCGCAACTCCAAGCCGAATGGACCATCGTTCTCACAAGAGATGGGCCAAATTGGGCCACCTGCTGGGCATTAATTTTCCCCAACCAGCAGGCAACATGGCAGCAATCAAAATTGAAAACCCAAACCCTATAACCAATTTGAGCTGCCTGCTAGCGTCATAAAAGGGGGGCCAATTAACTGATTAATCAGTATCCCCGCAAAAAAAAAAAAACTGATTAATCAGTAGATAATGAGAAACAATTTTTTTGTTGGGATAGGGCGATGCCTACGCTCGCCCCTCATGTGGCTCCTCCACTGCAACTCATGCTCATGCAGAGCACACCTTTGGCATAAACAAACGGAACATGGCTGTGTATATACACCTTTCTTGGTGTAGAGTCTGGGTTTTAATCCATTATCAGAAAACGAAATAAGTTACCTTCAGAAGAGACAATCTAATAAGATCCTAGAACAATTAATAGCCCAACATTGTATGGCCCGGGTGAATCACTAAAGCCGCAGCTATCTCTCCCCAACCCTCTACAGCCCAACCATATACCAGGTTAGAGCAGCTACCAAACTTTCAGTATTCCACCCCTGTTTATATCTCTTGTAAATCCACCCCCATCCCTCCCTCTCTATATCTGTCTCTCTCAATCCTTCTTTCTTTTTATAACCTTGCAACCTTAAAAAACTCTGTAAACCTCATTTCTATCAATTGAATGACTACAAGGTAGAGCCGGCTCTACCTTCTTACGTCAAAAGAATTTGAAAAGTTCATATTTTTTTTCTCGCAGGGTGCAGAAATAACTCTACAGGGATACGTTGCAGTCACATATGGTTGATTATAATCATTCTCAAGACAAATTAATTATTTTTGAAAAAAAAGACTGATTTTTTTCTCGAAACTAAAAACTCGGCGAATCGGGGTCTAATTAAACTGCATGGGGTGATTGAATAGGGAAGACAAAGATAATTAGGGAGGAGGAGGAGGAGGAGGAGGGAGGGGGAGAAGGGGAGGGAAGACGAAGAACACCTCGGGGTGGAGGGAGCGCGACGCCGGCGCCCGGCGGAGGGTGGATGCGACCAGCGGCCTGAGCTTCCCGGCGAGAGAGCGCAGCGCCTTAGCCATGCCGACGGCTTCCGGTTGCGGGCGTCAAGATCTCGGGAGGGAGCGAGGCTAGGGTTTCGCTCGCTTTCATCTTCTCCTTTCTCCTTCTCCTTCCCCTTCCCCTCCCTTCCCCTTCCGCTCGCTGTCGTCTGTCGCGCACGCACCAATCAACAAAACTTACGGCTATAAGCCCGGTCTATAGACCGTGGTCCCACCAGTCAGTCCCCAGTCTATACAAGTTGATTAGAGAAAATTGCTTTTTTAAGCCTCCAAAGTTAACGTTTTTAGATACTTTTCCCTCTGTTTTGTTTATATTTTTTTAAAAAACTAGCAAAAGTGCCCGTGCGTTGCAACGGGTGATTACGGAGTGTGTATATTAACCAAAAGTGTTGTTTGGTTTATCAAAAGTGTCTGTGCGTTGCAACGGGAAGCGTACAGATCAGAAAAATATGCAATTAATTAAAATACAAATTCGCTGAAATATTTGGTATTTTTAAGTAGGTATGTGTATAATTAAATAAATTTACAAGTAAAGCAATTGTGACAAATAAAATGACATGGTTAAATTTAATTTTATTAAATTCTCCATGATTAGTTAACGCTCTTAGAAATTCTATTGGAATTTTCAGAGCTTAATTGTTAATTTTCATTTAACAATTATTTAATTGGAAAAAGAAAGAAAATACTTCCTTTTAGGTTTGCTTCGAAATAAACACATTCAACAACTATAATTGTAATGCTTCTGAAAAAATAAAGTACTAAAAATGAACTTCTTCTCTTTTTCTTCGGCCCGAGAGACCTAAAATAGACTTATTTCCGTCCCTTGCCGGTCGGCCCATGGCCTTTTGTGCACGCGCAGGCGCAGTTCCCCTCTCCAAGCCGCAACCTGGGCTTGGGCCGGAAAAGTGGCCTCGCTCTCAATCCCTCTTGGGCCGATTTCGGCCCGGCCGACACCGGCCGTCCAATCTCTAGGGTTTAGATCGGACGGCCGAGCGTCGAGATCGGGGAAACAAAACCCTCTCCCTCTCCTCAGTCGCCGAAAAAACCCTAGCCCATTCTCTCCCCCCCCCCAATCGACCCAGCCGCCACCCCCGCGCCCGACGCCGCCTCTCCCCACCGGCGACACCGCTCCCTCTCCCCATCTCCCGCCTCTCCCCCTCACCCAAGCCGGTCACCTCCCCCGTCACCGGCGCCGTCTCTCCCACCACCGGCGCCGCTTCTCTTCCCTTCTCCCTCCCTTCTCGCCGGCATGGCGCAGCAATGGCGGGGTACGGCGTCAGCGGCGTCCGCGCTCCCTCTCCCGCTCTCCTTCCCGTCTCGCCGGCACGGCGCAGCTGCGGCGGAGACGGCGGCGACGGCCGTCCCTCCCCCTCTCCCTCTCCCCGTCGGCCTAGACAGCGACGACGCCTTCTCAACGGCGGCGTCGACGGCATCGGCTTCGTTCGCGGGTGGATCCGTCGGCGGCGTCGGCCACTGTGGGTGGATCCAGCAGCGGCGGCTCCCTCCACCGCCTCTCTTCTCCCTCCGGCGGCGGTGGTGGCGTCGGCGGCCGCCGATTTTTTTTTTTTTTTTGCAATTTTTTTCCATGGCTATTGCTAACCGAATCGGATTGCGTACGAACGAGACGAAAAATAGATGTGACGAAAGGAAAAATACGAATATTTATATTAGTTATTATAGATATAGATTTGTATAATACTATTGTCTTATATCCTATTTGTATAATACCATGGAGGTTGAACTTGCATGTTTGTATAGTGATATATCACATGTTAATACATCTTCTTAATTTTTTTTAATTTTTACCCAGTGCTAAGTGCTATAAGGCTGCATATGATTCTTTGTTATGTGCCGTGATTCTTTATACTATGTATGTATATATGCACTTGTTATCTTGGTGATGCCAACCGAATAGGACTTGGACTTGTATAATTCAAACCAATTCCTATTCGGCCAAAACAGAAACAAAGTCCTAGTCAGCCCAAACGGAAATGGATTGGAGTTTGTTTCCTATTTTTATGGAATCAGACAGATTTTTTTTCCCGATTTTTCTTTTACCGCATCGATGGAATTAGATTCGATTTGTTTTTTTTATCACGTCGCTTTTTTTTAAACCGTGCCACATATAATATGATTTGATTTTTTTTACCGCCACATATAATTCCTTTTTCTTTGGAATCAGACTGTTTTTTTAAAAAAATTTCGCCCTTTTTCTACTGCGTTGACAGAGTCGGATTCGTTTTTCTTTTCCCTTATTTTTGCCATTTTTCTGGATCGGACAGATTTAGTTTTTCTTTTTTTTTCCGGTTTTTTCGTCCGGTTTTTTTGACTGGACAGATTTGGTTATTTGATTTGATTTTTTTACCGCGTCACATGTAAATCCTTCTTTGGAATCAGACATATTTTTTATTTATTTCGCCCTTTTTTTACCACGTCGACGGAGTCGGATTCATTTTTCTTTTTCGCCTTTTTATTCTGGATCGGGCAGATTTGGTTATTCTTTTCTTTTCCGGTTTTTTTTCGCCCCGGTTTTTGGGATCGGACTGATTTGTTTTTTTTCTTTTTTTCGCCCGGTTTTCTCCGTTTGGTTTTTCTTTTCTTTTTCCGGTTTTTCTTCGCCCGTTTTTTTTGATCGAACAGATTTGGTTTTTTTTCTTTCTTCTGTCCGGTTTTTTTCGCTCGGTTTTCTTGATGGACGATGGAAGTACCTCTTATTTTTTAAGTAGTAGAGAGATATCCGTGTGTTAGTAAACTAAAATTATAATAAATATAAAAATATTATCCGATTAGGGTTTAGTTTTACATTATATGCGCCCTTTAATAAAATATATTCGTAAAGAAAGAAAGAAATTTTATAAAAAGAAAAGAAAAAAAACGAAAGGTAAAAAAAAAAAACTAGTTGTACCTCACCAACCAGCTAGGGCATCGCGCAGCCTATGAAGCACGCGTGGCTGCCAAGGGTGGAGGTTCGCAGCGAAGATGCTGTGGTGGTGGTGGCTTCCTCACGAGATAGGGTGTGATGGTAGCTTGACGGAGGCTGTGGAATAAACTGACTAAAATTGAGGGGGTGTTTATATCCAAATTTTTGACATGTCATATCATATATTATATGGGGTGTCGCATGGGATATTTGGGCACTAATAAACTAATTATAGAATCTGTCGATAAACCGCGAAACAAATTTATTAAGCCTAATTAATCCGTTATTAGCAAATGTTTATTGTAGCACCCCATTGTCAAATCATAGAGCAATTAAACTTAAAAGATTCGTCTCGCAAATTAGTCGCAATCAGTGCAATTAGTTGTTTTTTAGCCTATATTTAATACTTTATGCAGATGTTTATGTTTAATGTGACATAGTGAAAAATTTTGGGTGGGAGCAAGACAGAGCCTGAGTGCCAGTAAACAAAATTGACGAGCAACGTTTCTTGAGTCTATAAGAGCTCAGTTGTAGAGTACATCCCCGGTTAACATCTACTTCCAACAACCTTGTGTACCGGTTCAGAAACAGGTCACATACACATCTACTTACAACCTGTGTATCAGCTCATAAACAGATCACAATACAGGGAACGCTGATTATATTTTACGGAGATCCCTGCAGACGATAATGGATCACCAAACTAGCAAATTAATTCAATGCTCAATGAAAATTCCCATTTTCTAAAGAACTAAAATTGATTTTCATGTCAATTTTTCACTCCAGAAACCATGAGATGCGCTGTTCATTGTAAGGCACCACACAGCGCGTATATATATACAGTACACATGTATATTCCTTCCTTCCACTTCCAGAAGTTGTGCCTATCAATGGCAATAGGAAAATACCATACACACACGAAGCTCCCTTCAGAGGTTTAGAGGATTGCTTTCTGCACTGAAATCAAGGAAAGTTGTCGGTACCATATTATCACCACAAGAAAGCATACCGTATCCAAAGTTCAGACCTGATATTCATCAGAAGTTTAAGAAGTGTTGCTATTCTCAACAGAAATGGGATCTGCTCCAGAAGGAACGGCAATAGCTGACCCATCATCAGAAGTTCCCATTTGTTTGGACCATGTTGCTTAACAGCTTGACACTGAAACAGACCAAAAAAAATAAGCTACTAGGTTCTAGTAATATGACAAAAAGAAAAAGAACAATGCTATACGTACGACTGTTCCATCCGACCGGCGTACAACAGAATGGCGTGAGGCTTCATATGACGTTCTACTTCTTGTTGACGCCGTGCACTTCATAGTCGTCCAAAAATCAGACACTACAGGTCGTGTGTGTAGCATTTTTGAAAGAAAAATTGCCATACCTCACACATATAGTGCCTTGCAAGCCTGCTGGATGCATTTATTGGAGCGAAGGACATGCAATCGGCAAGATGTGTGGATGTGGAACATTTTGTCCACAGAATGTCTAGAAAGAGATCAAGAAAATCAGTCCAAAGCTCAGTTGACCCTTAACAACCATCCTTAGTCGACATTCACATGCCCTCAAAAAAATTAATTATACCAGGAAAGAGTTAAATACCTTGGCGTTGACTTGTGTCACCAATTGCTCACATTTCTCATATCAGCATCTCTTTCTTCAGAAGCCATGGTTTGAAGCTCCAACTCAAAGGCCGCATTAGCCATGCTGTCTGCTGTTGAGTTCTCTTTGGCTCATTTCATGTAGAGAAGAGAAAATAATGCTTATTGGTATAACTTAAACTCTTGGGGAAACATATCCTAATTATATCACTTAAGCTCCATTGGAAAAGACACGCCAAAAAAAAGAGTACATTGATGGTGCTCTCTTGCTTTCCAGTACAACACCATGATTATCAATAGACTCAGCCTCTCATTCACTGTTTGGTTGCTCCCTCATAAGCACGTGAGAAAGAGCCCCTCATTGTCTCATTGACTTCTCCCTCTTTACCAGAGAGAGATAGTGCCCCTCCTTCTCTTCTTGGCCGTGCCTTCACCAACTGAGATAGAGGCATTCTCTATGACAACCTCATGGTCATCAGAGATAGACCCCCTCATTTTCTTTTCTGCAACTTGAGTTTGTCAGTACTAGATCTCTTTCTCTTCCTGACTCCACAAGAACAGTTAGAAGAGTTGTTGACATCATCTGATACAGCTAGACTTTCATCACTTTGCTTTTTAGATCCACTTCTGTAAAACAAGCACAAAAGAAACTCGTGAGATATGAGAACAGGACATGTATAAGGAAAATGAAAAAAATTCATTAGAGCCAAGCAATGTAACGTTGTAATGTCAGTCATACCTAGACGATTTCCTCCTTGAACTTGTTGTGGCTGTGTTAACTAGTCTCACCATCAATAGATTCAGAAAGAGAGATTCATAGAAGCTGAAGAATTTAATGTCACTAGGCAATATATTGTCCCCACATGGTATTCTAGAACGTTTTTTGGGGCTTTCTCACTTGAACAACGTTAAATTCCTCAAGATCTATATCTGGATTCCCCAAGATCTATATCTGGATCACGAACACTAGGCCACCTGTTTAACGATAACAAACAACTACCATTATCATCCAACCCTAAACTGTGTAGTAAAATATTAAAATTACTAATTTACCTTTCATTGCATTGACTCTGTGCGACCAGGAATGAACTGAGCAAAATCTTATTCCAGCTGCCAGACCCAAACAACTTCACAGGTACCATGAGGCGTTTGTCCTCATCGAGAGACCAACTCCCCACTTTTGAACTTTCAGGATTCAAGGTTTCTCTCCACCTACCAAGTTTGATGACATGTGAAATACTAGCTAAAATTCTGTACGTTAGAACTACCTAAAGACATGTGAAATACTCCGATAGCACATATAGACAGAAGCAAAAATGTGCAAATTTGTAAATGATACTCCGTATTATTCTACTGGCCTGTCGGGTATTCCCAGTCAGGTCCCTGTCAAGGACTATTTCCCTGTCGGCTGTCCCAATATCCCTGATGGTTTTTGGCCGTCACGAAAGATACAGTTTCAGGTAGTGGATGGATAATTTAGCCAGATGCCCATCAGAGCAAACACCAAACATTGATTTTACAGGCCACGTCATTGGGACACAGAAGCATTACAATCTTTGGTTATATTTTCACATCCTTAAAGCATATAAAGTTGTCAATATCATCAACAAAAATATTTACTAGCAACTAATAAAGGATAAGGAACACTAATTAAGAAACTAATTATCAAAATAAAATATCAACCAAAAACTAATGAGAAATACCCCAACAGTGCAAACAATTAAGCAACTCAACATCACCTTCCTCATCGAGTCCAGAATCATTGCTTCTTGGTATTGTTGCTTTATTCCTTTAGGCTAGTTTGTCTTTCTCATCATCTGACCACTGTTGCTTCTGAAGTAACATGGGGAATACAAGGGTAATTGCTTCAGTACATTTTTGTACTTTGAAACATGAGGGTTATTGGCAAGGCCAAGAAATAATGCAGGGACTTCTTATTTTTATTCTGCACCAAAGGTTGCTTCTTTGTAAGTACATATGCTTCTTGACAGGGAAAATATCTAAAGCAATTAGTTAACATAACTATTAACTAAGAGGACTGTCGATCTTAAAATTGAAATTCCACAAGTTTCTAATACAACTCACTATGTAAACTGGAAAGTGTACTTCCTAAAGACCAGAGATCCACCATAACAAGTATACTGATACAAGTTTCGATTCATATAGAACTAAGTGAAACTGATGATCAAGGGAGATTAAAACAGATGAAGGGCATATATTGTCATTAAAGTGGCTTGAACAAAGATATGCTCTCTTTCAGCTCGTCGAATTTACAAGACCCTTTTTGTGGGGCCAAAACATATAACTTTGCTCCATTTTTATTAATAAATTTCTTCTCTACATTACTTCCATGTAGGCATGCCATAAAATGCTATTTCACATGAATGGGGAACCTATAACAATATCTAAAAACATTTCCATGACAACAGTGAACATATCAAACATTTCAATTATAGGGTAAATTCTAACTATGTTACAGATTTATAGGACAAAATAGTACCTGCACCACCAAGCAAACACCAAAACGAGCCTTGTTATCACATGTTGCTCTAATTCCAAGCTCACTAACTTGTTCATATAGGAGTATACAAATACCTTCGTGAAGTAGGAGAATCACTTCTGCTATGTCAATCTCGTACTTTGGTGGCTTTCAGGTTGAAGGCTTGTTTAAGTATAAAGTGATAACCAGAGGTACCTGTATTAAGCAAATCAAAATACTAAGGGCTCAATTGAGTATAATAATTCAACACTCTTTTGCTGGATCAGGAATGCGACAAATATTGTATTCGAACAAGTATAGTAGTTTGTACTTTGTACAGGTTTTATTCACGTGTTAGAACTAAGGTCTCATGATAACAGCATATGTAGGGAAGCACATTCCGTAGCATATGATATAATCGAGCATATCCGCACCGCCCATGGAATGGCCTGGACATACCTGTCTGGCTGTCTCCAAGCAGGTCTGCAACCTTGTCGTGGCTTCAACAATCTGCCATTTGGGTGATGGAAAGACGATGCTGTTCTGGGAGGATAAATGGCTGCATGGTGCAAACATCCAGGAGCTGGCTCCTGCCATGTGGGAGCATGTGCCCTGTGCCGAAGTGCACACGAAAGAGAACTGACGCAGAGGCGCTACATAATTGCCAATTGGGGCGCCTAGAGCTCCCCTGATGTATCTCAAGTATCTCAACCTTTGGGCTCGAGTGAACTCAATCGTTCTTGAGCAAGAACAGGACAACATTCTTGAGCAAGAACGGGACAACACCTTCAGCTGGAAGTGGGAGCACTCGGGGCAGTACTCACCTGAATCAGTTTATGCCACACCTGTTCCTTGGGAGGTACAATTTCCCACATGCACTGATCTGGAAGAACCATGTGCCACCCAAATGCAGGTACTTCTTATGGCTAGTTGCTCACAGGAGATGCTGCATGGCGGACAGATTAAGAAAACAGGGTCAGCCAAACCCAGCGAAATGTGTCCTCTGTGATCAGCAAGACGAGACGATCAACCACATCCTAGTCGGTTGCGCAGAATCATGCCAAATCTGGTGGCTCATCCTCAGCGTCAACAAGCAGCCATAGTGCTTCCCTTCCAACCCGCAGCCCTTTCTCTGGTGGTGGTGCGACAGCAGGAAATCCATCAACAAGGCGGACAAAGAAGGCTTCGACACGGTGGTCATCCTAGCAGCTTGGGACATCTGGAAGGAGGAAAAATAGGGTGTTCAACAATCTGTCAATAAGCTTAGGTGAAGTAGCTCATGATGCTGCGGAAGAAGCTGTGCTCTGGAGCTCAATCAGAACACCAACATAGTGTAGCTGCGCACTGGTCAAGAGGTCGCTAAATTTGTTGCGAGAGATAGCCCTATGATCCTCGTTTGTTCCTTTCTTTTCACACTTTTACAGAAGTTGAAATGATGTATAAACTATCCTAGCTAAATACAAAAGGTACGCAAATGTTATGCATATTCCAAAAATATAGTTTACTCCATGTTGTTGGTCTTTTTAAAATTTCTTACTACACTAGTCCTACACAATTCAGAAGAGTAAACCCTAGAGATGTCATGAGAACAATATCCCGATGCCTTAGCATATTATATAGAAGACGAGTTGAATAGGGTAATTTATGTTTTGATCAAAAATCAACTGCCTTGGAAGTTTATTCCAGTAATTCAGATTGCCAGGTCATATCATACCAATATTCACGGCCTAAGATATAATTTGATTAGTACACCACATGGTACCTATCTTCGAGCAAGAGCATGCCACAAACAAATGGACAGAAATTAACTCACTGGAGTGTTAGTGCGAGAAGAGGCGCTGTATCACGCGGAGCGTCATGAGGTTTGCATCCTCGTCGCGCTGTATCACGCGGAGCGTCACGAGGTTTACATCCTCATCCCCCAAGTCGAAGGGCTATTGCTTGATGGTGCTCTGTATTGCTTGTACAATGCAGTTATCAGTAGCGACTGAACCCCTCATTCGTTGTTTGGTTGCTCCCTTCTGAACACCAGAGATAGATCCCCTCATTCTCTTGTTGACTTCTCCCTCATTACCAGAGAGAGAGAGCCCCTCATTCTCTTGGCCGTGCCTTCCCCCTCATTCTCTTGTTGACTTCTCCCTCATTACCAGAGAGAGAGAGCCCCTCATTCTCTTCTTGGCCGTGCCTTCTACACCAACAGAGGGAGAGCCAGTCTTCTGTTTCATGGCTACCTCATTATAGACACTGATAGAACAACCCATTGTCTCCACGATGGCCTTATTATTACCAGTGGTAGACACCCCCCATATTTAAAGATGCACTTCATAATGTAGTGGCAAGAGGTGTGTGGTTTCAACCCCGAGGTCCTGTGTTCAATCCCCAACACACTCACAATTTCTTCTTAACAAAATGTTTGGAGGGACGTCTCTCCCCTCCCAATATCGTTTTTGACCCCCCGCCCCCTCATTTTTCTTTTGCACAACGAACAGATTGCTTTCTCTTCCTGGCTCCACTAGAACAATCAGAAAAGTTGTTGATGTCATAAGATGAAGCTAGATCTACTTCTGTAAAACAAGTTCTGTAAAACAACAAAAGAAACTAGTGAGATTTGGAAACATAACATGCACATTCATTAGAGCCAAACTTTGTAAAGTTTTAATGTTATGAATCATACCTAGATGATTTTATCCTTGAATTTGCTGTAGTTGTGTTTAGAGAAGCCTCGGCATCTTCAGAAAGTATATTCTATCTCGTCAAAAAAAAAGTATATTCTAGAATGTTTTCGGGGCTTCCTGACTTGAGCACTGATAAATTGAGATTGATGAAAAACAGAACATAAATTATCGTTTTTTTTGTGCTACACACTCAACTATTAGATAGATTTGAAAAATGAAACTAAATAAAAGCTGTGCCTCACAGCGTTCTCATCACTTCCATCAACTTCGGAGTGAATAAGTGACATTAAGTAACTGGATATAGGATTTAGGCCTTTAGGGTTCAGCAGGTCGCTCTGTTTCTCTATCAAAAAGTTGGATTGAAAAATGGCTTTCTTTATTTGTTGAGCCGCCTTAACTGAAGGCAATTTATCTTGACACAGCTTTCTCCATCTTCTGAAGTTTCCAATAGCATAATGTTAGCAAGGAAGTTTTTCTTCATGATGAAACTTAACATTGATGCAACATATCATAATAAATTGAGTAGTTTAAAAACAGCTTTACCTCAAGCACATATTGTGAGTACAATGAGGAATCTTCATGCCAGCAATCTTGGACCAACAAGGCCCAAACTCATCGACTGACGCCAATACTTTGGAGTCTTCTTCAGGTCGCCACTCCCAAAGATCTATATCAGATCAAGAACATTCAGATACTTGTTTAATGACCACAAATAACTATCATTACCATCCAACCCAAACTGTGGAGAGAAATGTTAAAACTACCAAGTTACCTTCATTGCATTGACTCCGTGCGTGACCAGGAATGAACTGAGCAATTTTATTCAGCTTCCAGACCCAAACAACTTAACCATGAGGCGTTTATCATCATCGAGAGACCATCTACCCACTCTTGAGCTATCAGGGTTTAAAGTTTTCCTCCACCTATAGAGTTTCAATGTAAAGACATGTGAATACTAGCTAAAAATCAGTGCATTGTAATGGATTACAAATAAACATATAATAAGTTCTAAACCTGCATATAAAAATAGTTTTATTACAACCTACCTGCACAAATGATGTAACTTCATTCAGAAAATATGGTGACCAAATCAAGAGTTAGTGGTGGGATGGCAAATTCAACACAACCACCACCATTAGGTTTCCAGCGGATGCAAAAAAAAACTCCATATTCATGATTGCTATAACCCATGCATGAGAGAGCACATTAAAAATTTTAAAAAAAATGTAAGACATGACCACAGAAAGTAACCAATAACAGAGAACAAAACGATACATGAATTAAGTCAACGGCAAGAGAAGGGTAAAGGCACAAAAATACTTTTCACCTATTAGAGCACTGATTGCCAGTGCAACCATCCATACTAGCTGATACAAGTTACCAGTTGATACCAAAGGTGTTGACAGCAGCTTTAAGTTGAAGATCTTCTTCTTTAGCGCAGTCCTTACTCAATATACAATGATTAAAACTTTGCTGATAACGAGCGAGGCACTGGAAAGGTGTCCTGTGAGTACCCAATGCAACTGCAATGTTAATCCAGTTAAACATTCCTTGTTGTTGGACGGTTGGTAAAAGTCGTCTTCTCCTCCCGAGCAGTCCACATATTATGATTAATGAATGGATCGACACACTTTAGCCACCTAGACAAGGAAAGCCGAACTCTTTAAGAATCATAAATTATCCACATAGGTATAGCACACATTGCAGAAAATAAAGAAATAACAATGCCACTTAAAAGAAACAAATGATGCACGCGTCTTCTTATCTCTACTCTGCATGTTAAGCATGGCATAAAATGATATTTCACATAAACTAGAGGACGCGGCGCGCCAATAGCGCACCGCCTGTGCAAACCAGCAAGAATCCAGACGGGGAGTTATTTAATTGAGCTCTGTTTGTGCTTAGCAAAAATTATTGTTAATTAACAATTACTGTAGAAGTCAGTATAATACCTAGAGTGTTTAAGAATAGAAACATAAACAGTAATTTTGCTTGCCAGGGCACGCCAACGCTGTCTCCAGTTTCTTACTTGTTGCAAAGCACAATGGACAGTGCATTTTAAGTTAAATTGAAAATTTTCAATAACAAAAATAATGTCAACAAAAAAGATAGTAGCATGGCATACCGCACACCTCTAATTCTTTAATCTGTCACACCATACAATTGCCAGTGTATTTTCAAGTTAAATTGGAATTTTTCAACAATAAAAAATGATGTCAACAAAGATGTATTACATTGCGTTCTCTGCGGCGAGATCCAATTAACCAAATAATGCGATCCAGAATGGAGAGCTTGTCTACAAATTGCTGATAATACCTCCCAGTAGATGGATGGTATAACCCTGCAACAAGTTGTAAGGCAATATCACCAACTAGCGTTTCATAAAAAAGAAGTCATCAAGTGGAGCATCCCTTTCTTCAATATTGAAATTGTGTACATTGCTCAAATGTGTTTATCTGCTGTAGATTTCTAGTCATGTACATCTTCAACATTCTAGTCATTCACAAAAGAGAACATATGAGGGCTAAGTTTATGTGCTTCCCAAACAAGTGAACTCTAAACATCTCTTCCCAGTTTATCTTGGTAGAAAGACCCATAAAGCATCTCGTTGTTCACAATGTTTAAAGAAAAAAAAGAGTCCATTTTACTCTCACAAACTATTTCAGCAGAGCAAACTCTCTAAAGAATTTTTTGGCTACATTTTACATCACAAATTATGGTTAAAGTAAAATGGCATTTTTTTATGATTAAACTAACCTATACAGCTTTACCTAACCCTGTCCTCCAGTATATTAAGATGACAGTTGACATAACCTGGGCCTACTCCATGTTCAACCTTTCTTTACAACAAACACCAAATCAATCAGTCTATGATCTAAACCAAAGAAACTCCAGACATTTTAAAAAAATGACATCACGGTGTATTTGGTATTTATACTGACTTGTATTTGGTATTAGCATGGCAACACAAGCTTGCCATTCACAGCACACATTAACCCTTTTATGCGTGACATGGGGAGTTGGAGAACCATTAGTATGAGATCTTAAGACATGTAAAAGCTACCGCTAGACATCTATATGACAGGGAACAAATAGGTCGCAGGTTTGGTGGTATGAAGAAACCAAATGCCAATTAATTATATCCATATGTGTAGAACTTATTTGTCCAACCATACTTATGAAAAGAACCATAAAGTGATGACTGCATACTGAATATATAATTAATTAATTACACTTAGACATAAACAGTTGAGTTTTAAGGACATAACCACATAATATTGTTAGCTTTTCTAAAGCAAAGAAATTCATATTCAGGAGAGTTTATGCATGTTGATAATAACAAATCAAATAAAGACACCGTCAAGTCAAAAGACATATGTGGGGATAATCAACATAACTTATGTAACTGCTAGGTCATGAAAAACATTCAAGGCCATCTGTCCCAGTACCAATATGTTGTGTATAGAAAATGTTGAGGTTTGAGTAGATCTGGATGAAAAAATTCAGGGGAAAAAAGTTGATGTCTTTCTTGTTAAAATAAGAAGAAATATCCAAAGTCTCTATGTTTCCAAATAGCAGGTAAAGTTGCAGCATGATGTTTTATCCATATTCTGAAACAAAAGTCAAGATTCTATAAGGTCGTCACGATTAATTATCAAGAATTATCAATTGAGCAATATTAGCCAGACTACTAACCTTGATGCGATGCATACTTTCAGTGCAAGGAAGCAATTCAAATATTAACAATGGATGGTATTTTAGATTCTAAAGATCTATATTCTCTTTATAACTGTTTGCCATGCTCCCACATTAATGCCTTTTTGTTTAACCAAGCAATGGCTGAATTAGGCAAATTAGAAGTAGTTGTCTTATTTCACCATGAAACGACAATATAAAGAAAAGATCCCTTTTCTGCTGCTAAAGATTTGCCCAAGGGGAAAAGGTAATATAAATGTATAAGAAACACTCTAAATGTAAAGAATGACATGTAAGTTAACAATTGGAGAGAAGTAGGCAATACCTGAAAAATGATGAGGAATAGTTCATACCATCACAGTCCTCACTTGCCCCCAACTCCATTTTCTCTCGTCCACCAGCCACTACTCCGTTAGGCATTGCCATAGAGGCAGCAAACAGGAGGGAGACAAGGGGGAGGAGGCACCCAATGGAAGAGGAGGTATGGAGCTTGTTCTCTAGCTGCAACTTGGTCACTCCACAGAATCACTGGAACATGGAATAGTCTGGTGTTCAGCAGGTGCACATGCGATCCAACAATAGAAATACTATTGGGAATAAGAGTAATAGGATTCTTGTACCAAAATTCCATATTTGTTTGTAACTCCAAAAATGTACATACACCAAATGCAAATAATAATAATAATAAATAAAATAAAATAAATCCAAATAAACTGCTATAATTTAGGTGACATGTCCATATGGCCAATTATACCGCAAATCTTGGTGGCCTAGTGCCCAACTAAACTCTACTTCCCTTTTGTCACAAACTAAAATGTCTTGCCTGTAGGTTTGCATCCATCATTATATTCAAAGGCCTTAGAAAATGGGAAACAGAAAATAACTCATCTCTTCTATGACTAAGGGCTGGGACATTCATTACATTCCTCATTAAAGCTCTAAAAAGAATTCTGTTGTCAAATCAATTAAACTGATTTTGGAATGCATGTGTATTCTAATTATTACTATGATCCTAAATTAACATGAACCCCCATGAGATGAAACATGCATGGAAATATAAAAGCCAGTTACTATCTGTCCTAAATAAATACATCCGCTGCAACCACGAGAGTTTGCAATGAATAAACAGATAACAAGGCAGAACAAGGTCAAGAAACTTTACATTTTTGGAATCCGCAGTCCTAGCTCATTTCCTCTTCTGCCTCCTCTTACCATTAGCCTCAGTCCTTGCTACCTTGTTCTAACCTATAACAAACAGCAGATAGCAAACAAAAAAAAACAACAATTGGTGTCAAGTGGCAACGACTGATCCACAGGGTATTCAATAGCTTGATCAAATGGTATAGCTGCCATATTATATGCGCCAAAGAGTATGAAGTATAATGAGCTATATATACACAGTCCATTCAGTACACACTCCATCCAATTTAATTGGCATTGGAAAAATATTAAGAAAAATGGAATGATAAATAATGTGATAACCTTATAATATTTATCAGCAGCAACTCTATTGTGATTCAAATAACAGGAAAATACAATCTTGATATTATCTCCAAAACAACTCATGTTATTCAGGAAGAGAGCACCAACATACTAACTAATGAACTATTAACTACAAAATCTTTTTTTCTTGTTTTTTCAGCAGAAAAGGCAGCATGTCAAAGCCTCACTGAAAAGGTCACACATCCTTCAAAATTGTTTAAATAACATGTTATTAGCCCAACTTGTTCTTTTATAACCCTGTAAAATAGTACCATTAGTAAAAACTGAAATCATGCAAAGAGGGCATGGCGAAATCATGGGGATGTGACTCACAAACAGCGCTATCTTAGGCCAAATGATAGGGACATGAGATGCACGCCATTGGTGCCCGATTGCGTGCATTATGTGATGCAGAGGCCGTGATTTTTATTCCATTATCTAGAAAAATAATTGCTGACGGTGCTGAGCGATCATGAAAAATGATGTAAAGCCTGTAGTTTTTATTCCATTATCTAGAGAGAGAAAAAAATGCTATTGTTGCCAAGTGATCACGAAACAAAGCTAAGGAGTTGGAATCAATGGATGCGCTAAGAATAGCCAAGATTGAGGTGTGGTGATCCATACCTGAAGCTGGTGACCAAGTGGTGAAAAAAGATGGAAGCTTCCAGCCTGGCCAGATCCAGGCCTGGGCACAGCCTCTGCCCACCACCAAATGGAGTGAAGCTGCCATTGCTCATGTCCTTCTCCTGTTGAGATTGATTGATTTCTTGACCAATTAGCACATTATTAGACTTCCCAAATCAAATAATAATGATAGGATGCCTCAACAGTAGTACAGCACCATCATTTGCCTAGATTAATTATTTGCATATCATTGTCAGAGCTTACAGAAAGTATACAATAACGGAAAAAAAGGTGTGTATTCATTTCGTTGACAGCTTAAGCTTATGTTGTCTGAATTTACCAGATCAAAGAACTACCAAATCCATTTATTTTGGGGGATTCAACTGACTTCTGCCTAGGTGTATATATCACTAATGCAACTTTGAGGGAATCTCTGTTATTTTCTGCAATACAAGTGTTAGTACATGGCAATGTCAAATCCATCATGAGATTATTGATATAGAAGTAAACCCACATGTTAGGAGTCCCACCGAAACCCCACTCATCAAATCCTTATCATGCTGGAGTTGCCTAAAGGGCTAGCAATTCGACGAACATCTCTACCAAATGTGGGGCTCTTTCTTACCTTCGACCTTCATGGGTTGAACTTGTAGGGCTCATCGTAGAGCATATCATCGAGGTGGACCGATCACACCACCCCTTGGGAATGAGGTACCCATTCACCTCGACGCCGCGCACCGCCTTGTGCATGATCCCACCGATGATGTTGCCCAACCACAGCGTCTCTGTTATCACCTACACTCCAATGTTCCAAATCAAACGGGGTCATGAAAAAGAATCACATGGATCATAAGGATAAGTGCTATTTTTGCCAGTAGATTTAGAGCTATAGAAATTTTATGTTATAGTGTTAATGAACTATACTTACATGTGTGAATGACAATGACATGTCTGTCCATTGCAAGGTCTCACCCATGCTGGTTTTTCGCCTCTTTGAGCTGCATGTTCTCCTCCTGTTAGCATAAGAATATGATTGGTGTTATTATTCATCATTGTTACAACAAGTAATTACTGAGTGGATTTTATCTTGAGCCGCAATATGCATGCATGTTCTCTAAAAGTGGCAGACATGCAGAGGTTTCAATGAGTTTGTTGTTCACATGGCATCAAAACAGAAACACGGTCGACGCATGAGTAATTTCTTAGCACTGTAGTGATGTAAATGGAATCTAGTATATGACACAATGCTACTGGTGTAACAGGACATGCTAGCTAGGAAATATTACTGCTGCCTTCTAATCTCCACCGAATAAATAGACAAATTATGTAACCTTGCTTTTTCCCCAGTTGATAAAAAACCCTCTATACTTCAACCAAAATAACTATTCCTTACACACGTGTAGAAAAAAAACTAAGTAGATGATACATCATGATAGTAAGCCTTTTCTTTTGTGAGAAGGCGACTCTGTTCCAATGATATGTATGGACCTGACATTGACAATGATGCAACGCATGTCATCTTGCAAAGATTGGTCCAAACACAAGTAGTAGTATCTTTTTTCAGATGGCACATAGATAACAAACAATAATGATAGCTCTAAGATGCCAACAAGAAAGGTATGGACCAAGGTTGGCACAACCCTTTATGTGCTGCTGATCCCTTCTGCCCACCTACGTATCTCTCCCTTATTCGTATGCTTTTTTATGATATAGTTTTTGTTTGGGGACACAGATCCTCTGCCATTGTGTGTAGTAGACAGTGGTAGTAGTATTATCATGCACAACACATGGCTCTGACAGAATGAATAGTTGGTCATGTTCCTGTCAGACAAAAAAAGAAAGAAAATCAACCTCTTTTCAGTTCTGGACCCATTTTGCTGCCTGCCCATGCCCAACAACAGAGGATCCTTAATTGCTTCCTAGGATTTGTTTTTTTTTTCTGTTCAGGATTCATCTAATTATGCAGCTATTGATCCAGTTAGTAACAGCTTATTGTGTTGTCATCAAGCTGAAAAATTTTCATGTAAGAGGTTTCAGGTTACAGGCTTACTTCCAGTTGGTGAAGGGCGAGAAGGCACTCGCTGAGGAACTTGACGGTGAGCGTGATGAGAACCGGGACGGAGTCCCCGGCGGGTATCATGAGGTCGATCATGGTGTCGGAGATGAGCTCGTCGGTGAGCTCATCGCTGGTGTCTCTGAAGAGAACGTCGATGGCGTCCCGTGGTGGCCCTCCTTGCCCTCTTGTCCCAGATGATCCTCTGTATCAGCCTCACCATCTTCTTCTTGGCCTGACCACCACCACCACACACACACATCCCAGGTTCAGATTTCAAAGGTTAACATGTTCTCCAGTCCAGTGTCAATAAGGTTACTGCTGTAAGCAAACATGTATTTTTCCACAAACTGTGCTTGAAACAATAATACAAGCATTTATGTTTTTTCAAATAAAGTCCTGAAAGTAAAATGAGCAATGCAAAAAAGAAATCCAGATGTTTTATATATTAAAATGTTCTTTTTGCTACAACATGACAAGCCTTACATCAAGAAAGTTACCGCAAAGAAGGTAAATATGCCCCAAAAAATTATATTTCCACTATGGTCAAATTTCAATTAAATAATGTCAAAGGTTAATCAGTGAAACCTACAAAATCATAAAGATTCAACTTGTGAAGGTGCAATTGCCCTTTTGCCAACAGGATGCCTTTGTCTACTTTGTATTAAAATACAACCATTGTTTAATAAATTTAAAAAAATGTGCCACTGAAAGTATAACAATTCCCATATGTTGATAAACAAAATTGAAGCAGGGACTGCCAATATAATAAATTCATTCAATTAATGGCCCAAAAATGGCAGCAAGCCAGCAACGCATGCATCATAAACTCACCGCAAGTTATCTTGCTCCCATTGTTAGTATACTCTGTAACCAATTCACCCTACAATGAAGAAGAGCGGCTCATCAAATTAACATGCATAGTTCCTAGGTGTAATTACTGACATAGTAAAATATTCATGTGTCTGTGGTGTGGATAATTCTGTTTAGAAGTTCAGGCCCATGAATTAACAACAGATTTCAAGCACACTCATGTTATCAGTGCACAAGCACATCTTTGCTCAAAAAGGAAAGCCGATGTGCCAACCTTTATGTACGCTTATTACATATATCAGATATATATAAAAACGAATACCAACAAACACACAAAGGGACAGTTATTTATGACTCAGTTAATCTTTTTTTTCTGGTTGATGCAATAAAGAAATAGCTTCCAAAAATGGGTTGTACTCTGTAAGCTACCCAATTGATGCAGTAAAGGATGAAAAGATGCAACAGAACAATATCAGGCTATCAGAATGCCAAGAAGATTCCAATACCCAAAATAATAATTCAAACCATATAGTTAACATGTAGTTGAAGAGACAAAATGGATGTAAGCCTCTAGAGAATACCAATAATGAGAAGCCACTGAAAGCCTCACAAAAAATTGAGGATGGCACACTCCCAGTAAAAGAACACATTCAGACTAAAGCAGTTAATGGGGTTAATACGCAATACCATGTACAGGACACAGGACCAAAATTTGAACAGCTAGACACAGAAAAAAGTTCTAACCCCCTCTGAAGGAGAGATGGCTCCCAAGTCAGTTGATGGATTTCCTTCCCTGGGATCCCAGCTTTACGTCTAAAAGTTTACACTCCCTCCAATTAGCAAAGAGATAAGTTTCAAAATGAATGTTGCCAAACTCTTTAGACTTAGCCACTATTATATGATTGACCACATGAAATAACCACATTGTACTGCAGTTTACAGCAGATAAGTGAATAACCTGACAGGTATTATCATCCATAGGCGTGCAGTCTACAGCCAAAAGAGTGTCAACATCATCAGCAGTAACCACGTAGTCATACATCGTAGCACCTGAATTGCAAAATATAGAGAGCTAATCAATACAATCAAATTATTTCTAAGCAGCAACAAATAGAATGAGCAATAATCTCTATTTACTTTCAATTGACTGCCTGGTGCCATTCTCAAGATATCTAACCCATTAAAACAACAGCATTTCATAATGAGAGGTTTTATTTGCAGAAGTTAACAATTAATAGAGAAGATAAGTAATTGCAATCTGGAATCAGAACTCAGAACACAACAAACCTGGAAATTACAAAGGGTAGTACCATTGGTAGGGTAACCACATGCTGTTAATGTAAATCATGATCTAGGCTCCCCAACAATTTGAAACCCCTCAATACCAGGCAAAGGATCATCTAGATAATAAATACAAAAAATTCAATCAATATGATGTGGAATATTTTCTAGTTGCTTGATTTGCTCTTTATTTACCATCAGTTGAATACTCTTGATTATCCTGCCTATAGAACTGTGAGTCGTGTAATCTTACTTCTCTAGGACCATTATTTTCTTCAAAATAATTAGAGGGGTAGCAGCTACTATTTCCCTGAAAGGAAGGGTAGTTAAACATCAGATGAAGGATCTTTTCAATCAGATGACAGATTAATTGGACAGCTAATAACTGTAATTCGTACAAGTATCTCTTAAACAAAACTTTGGCATACTGATGATAATTGGATCCATGGTACATCTGTCCAGTATTTCGGTCATTTGGATCTTGAGCATACTGATGAAAATTGTTCCTAGTTGCATCCTGCAGATATGATCAGGTCATGCATGGTGCTACATCATTACACAAGCTAGCTAGAGGGCCATGTATTCTATACCGTATTGGGAAGGTCCATGCCTCAACAGAGTTGCTTGTTGATGATTGGGATTATTATATATGTGTGCAGGTTGAGTTATCTCACCTAGACTGTCCTGAATCAGTAAAATAAATAGAGTGTCTAAAACAAATCTTTTGAAATATCAATTCATTAGCGACAGTATCTTACAATATAACAGGTAAATGGCTGGTGTAACATGCAACTAAAAGCAACAACTACATGCAAATATGCAGAGGGCATGATCAACTCTATATGATATTCAAGCTATTCAATTGACATTTGACCTTCCATAAGCAAATATTCAAAACTGTCATAATTGTGCTGTGAGCTTGTGCCCTTCTGCACCAAGTCTAAATGGCATTGCTTTGATGTAACTCTAAAGCATGTGAAATTGTGTATGAATCTATCACTCTTGGGGCATGCATATTCATCACTCATTTTTAAGAACAATGAACAATTATTATTGTTCAATCACCCCATCTAAAACTGATTATATGACCAAACCAGCCAATTTTACAACAACAAGGGACTGTTCCTTGTATGTGGCCTAGCTGCCTACTATAGCTGTTTAAAACAGGGTGCATACAATGTCAATGAGCAGCCATGCCAACAGATATACAAAATCCACCTGCACCAATGCCTCCAGCACATAAATATGAAGTCCAACAGCACCCCACATCTCATTGTATTGGATTACTTGGATACAAGACTATTATTTATCCATTAAAATGTAAAAGTGAGTGCGAACATATTTTACATGAATTCGCCACTACAAACACACAATCATGCACACAGCCAACAAGGCAACAACACGCTTATCCTGATTGGACACACAGGAGTTTCAGACATATTGAATAACAACATGAAAGTTTCATATCTCTATTTTTTGCAGTCAATATTTAATTACTTCTAGAAACAACATTCATTGGGCTGCAGTCACCCAAAATATGAGCCTCTATGATTACTTTCATCCAAACACATTGTCATCATGTGATCATTTTTAAGTCACAGACATGTCACAAGAAAGAAACTTTTTAAAAACTAACATGAAAGAACTATATGCGAGTTGAAAACATATAAATCGACACCTTAACCAATTCAGTGGCGGCGGATAGGGTTTGGGGTAGTTAGGGTTAGTGCGCGCCATTTTTCGGAAAAACCCCTTGGCTTTAGATTTTTACAGCATGGTCCTAAATCGCGATTTTTCTCTCGTTCCCGTGGAATATATGGATTCTAGAAGGGCCTCCACATAAAATATCACCTCAGTGGTACTCCCTCCGTTTCATAATGTAAGACTTTCTAGCATTGCCAACATACATATAGATGTTAATGAATCTAAACACATACATATGTCTAGATTCATTAACATCTAAATGAATGTGGGCAATGCTAGAAAGTCTTACATTGTGAAACGGAGGAATTACTGTTTATTAGGGACTTACTTCGAATTACCAGCAAACCGGAGGGTTATTTTTGCAAAACGACCACCCCGAGCACTGTAGGACTGTAGCAAATCGCCGACGTGGCACCTCCCTCCATCGCCCCAGGGTGCGCCCCTTAATGTTTTCCGGTGGGCAACATAGATCCTTAGAATTGTGTCCTTAGTGGAACAAAATTTGTATAAATGCACTGTACAAAATCTATAAGTTGACAAGTTGACAACAATGAACTTTATAGGGAAACACCAAATGATCCTAGCTGTTACACGTCAAATCTAATTTAGTTCATGTGATGCAAAACTAATTAACTTTTGTTCATACAGGAAACTACAACTATCTCCGTGAATTAACTACAAATGAATGTAGGAGAATCGATTCTGCTATGTCAATCTCGAAACTTGGTGACTTTCAGGCAATAGAAGGTCCATGTCAGATATGTATCCACAGGTATAACATGTCATTAGTAAACATCCAATAAATAGATGTAGACACAAAATGATAATTACCTTCGCTGATTGTGCACATGGCTTTTGAGAGGAAAACAATCTAACATAATGATCCTCATTTTGGCACAAAATTTTGCCAAATTCTTTTCTGCGGCTTAACTGATAATCCAAAAGGCATTTTACATGATCCTTAAGATTAAGATTCTTATTTTCTTCAATTTCGCTTGAATTGTAATCTACCTTCTAATGAACTTCTGGCATGCTCTGTTCTTCTTAAGAGCATCCACTAACAGCAGGCAGCTTTAGGAAACCCAATTGGGGTAATTGCCTCTTTATTTTGCTTATCCACATCAAATTCTTCATCAAGTCTATTTCGAAAAAGATTTCCTCAGTTTTTGTATTTGTCTCTGACCCACTGGAGGTACCTGCATTAAGCAAATCAACATACTAAGGGCTCTCATTTAATTGTAATGTGACACTCTTTTGCTGGATCAAGTACACAACGACTCTACATGCTTTATTTTCAATTATGTACTGAACTATTGATATGTGCAGCTTAAAAAGAACAAACACAGAAAACATCTTATGGCTAATCTCCACATGTAATTTCACAAACCCCCATATTTTGCGGCATGGGTAACGCAACATCTTAGGAAGTACGATTGGTTTCAAGGCAACCCATGCTTTGAGGCAAAATGTTTCAAGGAACACTAGATTTATGTAAAATACTCATTCCGTTATTATATATGGTATGTTTTAAATACATATTCAGATAAGTAGGCTCAAGATGAACAAACCACCAGTCTAATTTATCTTCTTCTTTTCTATTGTACTGCATCATAGCAAAAGCTCAACATGATCTTCACTAATAATAACATATTAACCGATTACATTTACACAAAAGAGGTTATACTATCTATAACTAACACATGTTGAAAATGCAGGTAATGTTAAAAGGAAAAAGTACGAATTACGCCCCGCCCCCCCACCCCGAACCACAAAACCAGACATTGCTCACCCTGAGCTTTTAATACCAGACATATTACCATCCTCGACCCCAATCTAGAGCGGTTCTGTCCTACGTGGCGTACGCGTGGCAATCCAGTCAGCATTTTATTTATAAAAAAAGTGGGTCCCACCTGTCATACTCCTCTTCCTATCTCTCACACTTCCTCTTTCTCTTTTGTCTCTCACTCTCTCTCTCTCTCTCCCTCTCTCACTCTTCCTCTCTCTCACGCCCAGGTCGAGCGGCGGTAGGCGTTCGGCGCGCGGTGGGTAGCACGGCGGGACGCAGAGGCAGCGGCGCAGGACGCAGAGGCGGTGGCAGCGAACTCCGGGAGGGAGCTGGAGTTGTGGGCGGCCACGTCCACGGCGGACACGACGAGCAGCAACCCCCTCGGCGCGTCGATGGTGAGCCCCAGCGGCGCAGGGACAGGCGGTAGGCGGGGGCGGTCGGCGCGGATTGCAGCGCTCATGGCGGCACGCACGGCGCGGCGGAGATGCGGACGGGCGGCGAGCCGTCGCCTCCACTCCTCCACTCTCCGCTTCCTTCGTGTCCAAACCGATCGCCATCACCTCCTTCTCTTCACTAACACACGGTCCCGCGCCATATAGGGCCTCAGGCGCAGCGGCGGCATCAACATCGAGCCCTGCTTTGGCAGAGGCCACCCTGGCTTCTGGCGGCTTCTCATCATCCCGAGGGCGGTGGAGTGGGGGTGGCGGCGAGGGGAGGGGACACGGGGAGCGACGGAGTGGGAGGGAGTGGAGCGAGCTTGCAGGGACGCCTATCCAGCAACAGCAGCGGACGACGACGCCGACGAGGGCCGCCCCTGCATCTCCTCGCGAAACAACCAACCCCGCTGAGCCGAGCTCGTCCTCGGCAACCGCTAGGGTGCGCCGCATCCTCGGCCTCCCCCGGCGAAGAAGGCAGAGGTCGCTCGAGCGCCGACAGGGGAGAGGCGCAGGAGGACCTCGCCGCAGTTGCCGCCTCACCGAGTGCCCTCACCACCATTGCCGCCGCTCGCCGTAGTCGCCGCCGTTGTTGCCGCTCGCCATAGTTTCCATCGTGGGCCGCGCTGCGCGCCCTCGCTGACCCCTCCACGGCCGTCGCTGGCCACTTGTCGCCGCTCCCGACGGCTAGCGCTACAGAGAGAGATAGGAAGTGGGGAAGAGGAGAAAGAGGGAGATGAGAGAGTACAACATGTGGACCCCACCAGTTTTTTTAATAAGAAAATGCTGATTGGATTGCCACGCGTACGCCACGTAGGACAAGACCATTCTGAATTGGGTCGAGGGGGGTAATTCGGTCGGTATTGAAAGTTTAGGGTGAGCAATGTCTGGTTTTTGGATTCAGGGGGTAATTCGGTCGACTGCGATAGTTCGGGTGGTAATTCATACTTTTTCCATTTTAAAAATATCATATTCTACCTTTTATAAGTATGCGTATAAGTAGGCACAAATATATTAGTCAAATCGACAATATAAAGCTGAACCTAAGGTTCTTTGAAACATTTTGCCTCAAAACATGAGGTTCCTTGAAACAAATCACAATATCTGGTGTTTTGTGTTACGCATGCCCTAGAATCTGGGGTTTTGTCACATCACATTTATTCACCTATATTGGTGGTTCAGTTCTAAAGAACAATTACAGTAGTTTAAACATGTTTCATTCACACGTATAGAATTATAAGGTCCGATGATTACCACCATATGTAGTAAAGCGCATTCCATAGCTTCAATGTTCAAATTAAATTTGCATCAGCCTTTTTAAAATTTCTCACTACAGCTTCAACAATTCAGAAACAGTATAGACCCTAGAGAATTTCATTCAAAAAGAAAAGTGTGTCCTGGTGCAATAGCATATTGTATAGAAGATTTGCATTGGATAGTTCATGTTTTGATCAAGAGTCGACTACCTTGCAAGTCTATCCCATAAATTCGGATTGCTTATCTTACAGCAATGCCACGAACAAACAGGGTGAGATAGAATTTACTCACCGGAATGGTAGTGCGAGAAGTGGGTGCTGTATCGCACGGAGCGTCTCGAGGTCGTTGTCGTCGTCCTCCTCCAAGTCGGAGGGCGGCCAGACGCAGATCGGGTGAGGAGGGCAAGAGGCCTTGTTGAGGAGATTCTCACGGATGCTACGGACGAGCGCCAAAGCCATCGTCCTCCTCCTCCTCGTCATCATCGGACAAAGCCATTCTTCGCCGCCCCCCGCCCCTGATGTGCCGGCGGCGAGGCTGGCGGAGACCTGCGCGACCGCGGCGTCGGGGTCGTTCCCGGAGAGGATGCAGGAGCGGCGCGGCTCGTCCAGGTCCTTCTGGAGGTCGGAGTCGTCGCCGATGCCGGGGCGGGGGCGGCGGCGGCGGCTAGGGTTTAGGGATTTCGCGGCGGGGAATTAGGGGTCTCGGGTTGGACAAGTAGCGGTATTTGAAATCTTCGGCGAGAAGCTTCGAAAAAAAAGAGGAGTCTTCCGCGAGAAGGAGAATGAAGGGAGCCGCATCCTCCTCCCTCCCATCGAAACGGCGCGATATTTTGGAGAGTTTCGAGTCCACCTTTACGCACAAAAAATACGCCTCCCTGTGTTATCTCTTGTTGTTCTGTTGATAATAGTGCTGAAAAATACTAAACTATAACGAAATCTCTATCTCTATCTCTATCTCTATTATTATAAAAAAGAAAAAGTATAAATTACCCCCCTAACTATTGGATGAGTATGAATTACCCCCTAAACACAAAAATCGGACGTTTTTCACCCTCAACTATCGATACCGGATGAAAACCCCCCGAGCAGCTTTCGAAGTAGTTTTGGTCTACGTGGCAGTCTAGTCAGCAATTTTTTTAATTAAAAAAACGAAGGGGCCTACCTGTCATATATCTTACCACTCTATCTCTTTCCCTCTCCCCCACCTTCTCTCTCTCAAATCCTGGCGGTTGCGGCTTGAGCGCCGACGGCAACGGACGGCTCCATTGCCTCGATGAGCCACACGGCGGTGGTTGCGGGCGCTTCCTCCGCAGCTGGAGCTCCACCCACCGCCATCCTCGGCTCGCTCCGCCGCGCCCCTCCACCTCCCTGAGCACCGCTGGCTACGAGCATCCCCTCCGTTGCCTCGACGAGCCACACGCCGGCGGCTGTGGGCGTCCCTTCGCCGCCCTCCGCCATCCCCTCCTCTCGCCACCCCGAGCTCCCGCCGCCCCCTCGACCCCAAGCTCCCCCCGCCATCGTCCCGAGCGCGGGCGGCTGCAAACGCCCCCTCCACCACCCCGAGCTCCGCTCTCCGCCGCCCTCTCCTCCTACCGCCCTGAGGTCCGCCGCCCCCTCGGCCCCAAGCTTCCCCCGCCGTCGTCCCGAGCGCCGGCGGCTGCGAGCACCTCCTCCACGACCCTGAGCTCCGCCCGCCACTGTCCCCTCCACCGCTGATTCCACCCACCATCGTCCCGAGCGCCAGCGGCTACGAGCGCCCCCTCCACCACCCCGAGCTCCACCCGCCCCTGTCCCCTCCACCCACCGTCATCTCGGGCTCTTCCCGCTGCCGTCCCAAGCTCCATGGCCCGGATTTTGGAGAGAGAGAGGTGAGGGAAAAAGAGAGTGCGGGAGACTGACATGTGGGGCCCGCTGATTTTAAAAATAATGGATTGCTAATTGGACTGCCACGTAGACCAAAACCGCTTTCAAAACTGCTCGGGGGGGTTCATCCGGTATCGATAGTTGAGGGTAAAAACGTCCGGTTTTCATGTTTAGGGGGGTAATTCATACTCACCCAATGGTTCAGGGGGTAATTCGTACTTTTTCTTTATAAAAACTATAGATGTTTTTGTCGATACTTTTGTATGTCATTCGTGTATAAGTTGGTTTTTAAGTTCATTCGCTTTTAGAAATACATATCCGCACTTGAGTCAGTTTTTAAGTTTTTTCGCTTTTGGAAAATTAGGAGTCGTATAAGAAATCTCTACTACTTAAAAAAGACGTAGTGGTGGTCTTTGAATGCTCACCCAGACAGACCCATGGAATGTGAATCGTTCGATCGCCGAATCCAATGCCTCAGATCGCGTCGCACGCCCCCGCATCCATCCCCGTCATTCGCACGGGCCCTATTCCCTGGTTTCTCTCCCCCTCATGCCCTCATGTTCCCCCTCTGCCACCTCCGACACCGCACTCTAACCGCCGCCTCATTGGTCTCCTCCGCGCCACCCCCAACTCCGCCACATTACCACGCCACCAACCTCCAGGCTAGATCGCCCTCCTCCTGCACTCCTACGGATCACGCTCCAATCTCTCTTTCGCGCACGCGTCGTCTCCTCCACACCGAGCGCCGACACTCCAATCCTCTCCCTTACCGCCTCCCCCTCAGCAGTTGTCGCCTCGCTCTCCTCGGTCCTCCTCCGCCGCCACCGCCGCCACTTGTACCCTAAATCACGCTGGCGGCCGCCGAATTCCCTCAACCGTCACCATCCTCTCCCTATTTACATATGTGCCATCCTTAAAAACTGGCTTCGCTAGAATGCCATCCTCAAAATGGGATTCTCTCGAATGCCATCCTCAAGCTGTGGGCATTCACTACAATGCCATTTTCGCTATATCTTGCACATGTAAATCATTTTCCATCCATTTAATTTTTCCTCGGACCTTTTTGCCCCTGGCTACATCTTCTCTCTTCTCGGAGGGAGAAGGCGAGGTGACGGCGGCGAGAGCCAAGGTTGTGCCTGGGCAAAGAGAGGGCAAGGCGGCGCCGGCAGGAAGGTGAGAGGACGCCGGCAGCTCGCATGCCCATCTCCCACCGGATCCGCCGCCACTCCTCGTCGCCGCTCGAGCTCCACTGCCGGGACTGCCGCCTTCCTTGCTCCGTGCGCCGGCAGCGGCTCCTTTCCCCTTGGCGGCACCAGCGGCCGGCGCCGCCGCCTCCCTCTTTCTGCACACCTGTCACCGCCTCCGCCTCCTCCTTCCGCGCTGGCTCCCTCCTTCCGCGCGCTTGTGCCGTTGGGCCCGCTTCCCTCACTCGTGCCGGTGCCGTCGTCGCCTCCTCTCTCGGTTCCTTGCAAGTGAAGGAGAGAGAAGAAAGAAGATAGGATGAGAGGAGAAGAAAGAAGATGCAACCAGGGGTAAAAAGGTCCGAGAAAAAATAAAATTGATGGAAAATGATTTATAAGTGTATAAGAAATAGCGAAAATGGCATGGTAGTGAATGCTCACAGCTTGAGGATGGCATTCGAGCTAATCCCATTTTAACGATGGCATTCTAAGCCAGTGCAAATTTCTCCCCTACCTCACCAACCCCTCAGTCTAGCTCCTTCCTCACGCGACGAGGCGGACAGAAGCCGCCGTCCGCAGGAGCTCGGCCACCGTGCCTTCCGTCGACCTCCAAATCAAACAACCGCTGCCGCCGATACCCCGTCGTCCACGTCTCCGCCTCCACCTCTACCTACACCAATTCCCCTCCCGGTTTCCCCCTATTTCCACTGCGCCGTTGATTATAGCTCGCCGCCGATACCCCGTCACCGAAGGAGCCGTCGATACTAGCATCCATCTACTCCCTCCATCCCAAAATGTTTGATATCATTGACTTTTTTAAAAATGTTTGACCGTTAGTCTTATTCAAAAAAAAATTAAGTAATTTCCTATCATTTGATTTATTGTTAAATATACTTTTATGTATACATATAGTTTTACACATTTCATAAAAGTTTTTGAATAAGACGAACGGTCAAACATGTTTAAAAAAATCAATAGCGTCAAACATTTACGGCTTGTTTGGTAACTCGAGGGAAGAGGATTGAGAGTTTACACGAGGGAATTGATGACGAGATTAAGCTGGGAATTTGATTTTTAATCCCAATATCTTGTTTGGTAGAGGTGATGAAAATTGATAGGGAGTTTAGTTGGAGATTAGATCATTAATAGAAACGGATGGCTGAGATTTGCTTAGACAAAGTAAAGGAGGAATTCCCTCCCAATTACCTGCCCCTACCCAGGTATTGAAAAGGAGGAAGTTTCTTCCTCAATTCCTCATCCCCATCCCACCAAAATTCCCATGTCTCCCAACCAAATAAATCACTTAATATCCTCATCCATCTGAACTCCCAATCGCTTGTAAAAACTCCCTCCAACCAAACAAGCCGTCAATCCCTTGTAAAAACTCCCTCCAACCAAACAGGCCGTTAGGAAGGAGGGAGTATGCTGTCCCTATCGTCGTCCACGCCCACAATGCGTCTCCGTCCTCGACCTCCGCGCATCGCAGCGCAAGTCAGGCTCCGTCCATGACTCTGCTCCGCCCAGGCCGTCGCGGCGTCCATGACCTTGTCGCCGCCACTGCTGCATCCAACACCAGCACCTCCCGCCTCTACTCAGCTGCTAGCCAACACCGTTGCCGCACCGTATGCAGCTCTCTATTTTGTTTTGTTTTTTTTTTGAATTTTTCTTGCCAACTCTTGATGCAAGGGCCAAGGAAGATGGGAATGTAGGGCAAGCCACATGTTTGACGAAATGTCCAGTAAGAAGCTGGTGCTCGAGGTGATAAAAATCCAATTCCTCCCTATTCCTTCATTTCCCCCTGTTGTTTCTAATTGAAGTTGTTTGAATGGTTGATATGTTTATCAAGCTTGTAGACTTGTGATGAGTCTAAGCTTCAGCCTTCAGGTTTGTTCATTTAGTGGCACCAAACTTCAGAATGTGGTTGTTACAAATGCTTAATGTAGACACATTAATTTTTATGCCTTTTCTTTCCTTTCTGCTATTATCTATTTTCGGGGTTTAGTCAAAAGTGAGAGCGGTTAATTTGCTTGAAAGAGTCTAAGATGATTAGATGAACAACCGCCCAGGAAATTGCATGCAGCTGACATGTACTATAAGCATTCAGTTTCATCTTGCATTTTGCTTTAGTAAAAACTGAATATTCATCTTTTACCAATTTTTTGGCTAAATTCATTTCTACCAAACTATTTGGTGTCTCTAGCAAGAAAATCAAATCGGATATTCAGTACTATGTATAGTCATTATATTATGATAGTAATCTAACAATTCATTTCACAATTTGACAACTTGTCACATCTGCTGTGTTGTCGGTTGCTACTTCTTTCTTTCACTTCTTCAAATAATATTTTGGCCACGAATTTGTTTTGTAGTCAAATCATTAGATCTCCACCAATAGCATTTTGATGTTCACTGCAGGTCACAAACAGCCATGACAAAGATCAAAAGGTGCATCAGTTGAACGAAAATAAAATTTCATCACATGACAGAAGATCGATCTTGCGGCACAAACAGCCATGGCAAAGATCAAAAGGTGCATCGGTTCTAATAGAGTTTTTCTCTCTTATGAACGAAAACAAAATTTCATCACATGACAGAAGATCGATCTTGCGGCAGCGCTTCTTCTTTTTCTTCTTCTTCTTCACCACTGGAGATCACGTAGAGCAATGATCACCTCGGTCACTGCGGCGGCGGCGGCGTGCCGCTCCCCTCGGTGCCGGCGATCTTCTGCTGCTGGCTCGGCGCTGGCTCGGCTGGCTTCGTCTCCTTGTTGCGGCGGAACCAGGCAGCCACTCGATCCCTCATCCTCACCTTCTCCACCACGCCCACAGTGGACTCGCTGTCCTTGGTCAGTGCTGTTGCTGATGGTGATGGCGCCTCTTGCTGCTTGTCGCGGCGAAACCAGCTGGCAATCTTGTCCCTCTGAGAACCAAATGTGGTCTTGTGGACGATGTACTCCCCGGTATCTTGAAGAGCTTCCTTCAAGAAGCGCTTCCGGATCGCGCGCACCTCCTCCCCAGTCGCCAATTCCAACCCCTCGCTCACGTAGCCCTCGACAATCTGATGAAAATTGTTGTTCCTGAGAAACTCCTGGGTCTTCATCTCAGCTTTATCCATCATCCCATCCGTCAGCCTGTCACACTCTTCACTGTGCAGGAATTGCTTGGCTCTCCACTCTGCAAACAGCACACTCATGAAGAGTAAAACCCCCAGGATGATGGCAAAACACAGCAAGACGGCAATGATGAAGCCAACTGTGGTATTGGCGTTGTAGAAGCCGCCGGCTCGAAGTATTTGTGTGGATGCCCTCTTCATCAGATCCTCCATGAAAGCCCTGTATGCATGAATCATTATCATCACTTGATTAATACCCCCAAACATAACAACCCAAAAAGAAAGAGGGAAAAAAAAGAAGAAAGGAGAATTTGTTTCCTCTCAAACAATTAACCCAAAAGAACGTACGCCCAATTACTTACTCCTGTTCGCTGAACGACCTCAAGATGACCTTTTGTATGGCCTTGAGAGCACGGAGGACCGAGTGCTCCATCTCCTTCAGCGGCTCGAGTGGCTCCTCCACCGCCGGCGCCGGGTCGTCGGCGCGAGCGCGACGGCTCAGTGGCTCCTTCTTCTCCAGCGACTTGGACTGGTCGTCACCGGCGCTGCTGGTGCTCGAAAAGCGCCGCGCTTTCTTGTCGCCCGCGACGGTGGAGAGGGAGAGCCCGCGGCAAAGGATCCTCGGTGCCGCGAGAGGCGGGCATGGCGACGTGGCCTGCTGGGCGCGCTCTAGCGTGAGCAGAGCACGCTCTGGAGCGCTGGCGGTCGCAAAGTGTGCCCCTTTCGAGCCCACGGCGACCGTGGCAACGAGGATCCCGGCGGATCTTGGGCCTCCGCCTCTGCCGGCGGCTGGAATCTTGGCAAGCGGAAGCGGAAGCGCCGTCGTGGCCGTGGCGAACCTCGTCGCCTGCTCGACCACCAGCGTCACGGAGGCGCCGGCGGGCGGAGAGACCGGCGCTTTGACGTCGCGGCCGACGCTGGCGACGGAGGGGGTAGCGCAGCATAGCCTCATCGCCTGGAGAGCGCGCTCCCCGGCTGCGCCGCCCCGCCCGCCCGTCGCTCTGTCGGCGCCGGCAAAGGTGGCGAGGGCCGGGGGGCCAGATCCGACCAAGCGGCGCACGCGTGCCCGCGCTGCCGCTCGGAGAAGCGCCATGGGTGATGGTCGGCTCGGCGGCGGGTGGCTTCTTGGCGGGCTAGGGTTTGAGTGAGGCCAAGGCGGAGAGACCGCGAGAGCCTCTTCTCTCCGAAATTCCGAATCCGAAGCGGAGAGTGGGAGTGGGGTGTGAGTGGGTTTTAATTTGGGGTCATTTATTTTTTTTTTTGTCGCTTTTAGGACGATCTGTATTTTCTTTTAGCAGATTCTTTATCAACACTCGTAAGAGTGAAAAGCGGCAATTTCGTTCTTGCTAATATTGATTTTGCCCCTAGTCTTTAGGGTTTTAGTTTTTCTCCCTACTTTTTCGAAACAGATCACTCATTTGCCTCCGTTCCGTTAATTCTTGTTAACGGTGTTAAATGTGGGGTAAAAAAATAAGTATACTCTTGGATATTTTTCGATACTTTTGTACACCACTTTCAAATTTGACTCAAATTTTGACGAACTTTCACAAAATTCTGACAAATTAAATTACTGCTATAGTATGGCACCAATAGATTTGTATTTTGATTACTAGAAAAAATACCCGTGCGTTGTAACAGGTAAAACAATTTTTGGATCGCTATATAATATTATATTACTTCCTTGGTTTTGGAATGAAAGCCCATTATTTCCTTTTAAGCCTAGCGTAGTTTGCTATCTCTATCTCCGCTTGGCCTAAGTCTTTTTAGCTTAGCCCATAAGTAAAGCTGTAGGCCTAACTCGTACAACCAACTATAGTTTTCAATCTCGAAAGTGCCCATACGATGCTAAAATCATAGCAATCCTCTAAACTCGGGATAAGAATGATAACTTTTAAATGGAGATCAAATCGGGTGAAGTAAAACCGAATTGCAAGAGGAAATCAAGGGAAAAATGATGAGGGAGTAGTGGGAAATCAATTTTGTAATCAATTGGAAGAGTAAACACACATGGAGGCAGATCAATGTGGCGGTGGCGCTAGGGTTTGGCCCGGGTGACGGCTGAAGATTAAATCCCAACGATGGAAAAAAACCAATTGGGTAAAGAAAACTGAATCCTTACCGCGTGCCAAAAAATGTGACTAAAAAATAGTGATGGAAAAAGCAGATGAAAAAACCGGAAAAGCGACGGGAATAAAAAGACAACCGTTAAATAGAGATTAAATCTTGTGAAGTAAAGCCGAATTGTAAGAGGAAATCAAGGGGAAAATGATGAGGGAGTAATAGGGAATCAATTTTATAATCAATTGGAGGAGGAAACGTACGGAGAGGTAGATCACTACTACAGGAATGATTTTTTCTGGACGGGACTCATTTTATATTGCAGACGGACCGTAAGTGGCCACGTCTGCAAAAACGTGCTCCATTTTCGCGTGCGGCTTTTTAAAATGACCACACGAAAAAAAATCAATTTTCGCATATGGGCCACTTAACAAGTCCTGTTAAATGGTCCGCACACAAAAATAGCTCACCCACCGGATGTTTCAAAAATTTTCTAAACGCACCCTAAATCCCTCGATCGGGCACACGCGCACACGCACTCTCTTAGGCAGGTAGCACCTGAAATTTGAAAACTTATTTTACAAATAGACCCATTGGAAAACTTAAACCGGAAATGGTCCTTTTTGGGGCGCCAGAGTGGCTGGCGCCGTACCCCAACATGGCGGCGCCAGCCACACTGGCGCCGTGCCCGTGCCACCGTGGCCCTAGGGCTGTCGTGGAGGTGCTGATTGGGCAGAGTGGGGCGCCAGCCACACTGGCGCCGCCCCACATAACAGGGCGCCAGCATGGCTGGCGCACCCCTCCTCTGCGGGCCCCACCAACTTTCTCCCTCCCACAAATTTTGCCAAGTCGGTTCTGCCTCTGGGCAAAGGCTGGCGCCCCCCCCACCAGATCGCGGCGCCAGGGTGGCTGGCGCCGCCCTCCTCCCCCACCCGACACCCTTCTGCCTCCGGGCCTCGGCTGGCGCCGCCCTCAGGACCACGGCGCCAGGGTGGCTGGCGCCGCCCTCCTCCCCCCCCCCCGAAACCCTTCTGCCTCCGGGCCACGGCTGGCGCCGACCTACTGGACCATGGCGCCAGTGTAGCTGGCGCCGCCCTCCCCCCACCCCGAAACCCTTCTGCCTCGCGGCAGTAGCTAGCGCCGCCCTCCCAAACCGCGGCGCCAGGGTGATTGGCGCCGCCCTCTGCCTCCTTGCAAATTGAAGATACATATTACACAAATGTACCAATTCACAGTTCGCAATTCAAATCACAATTCACAGTTTCATACAGACTAAAACAAGTTCCAATTGCACAAATCACAATGCCAAAAGTCCATCACATAGTCCATCACATATTCGACACATCAAACAATGCCAAAAGTCCATCACATATTCGACACATCAAACAATGCCAAAAGTCCATCCTATATTCCACACATGAAACAATGTCAAAAGTCAATCACATAGTCCATCACATAGTCCTCACATAGTCCATCACATTTTATATCACATAGTGCACCACATATGTCATACTACCAACAAATAGATTAACTTCATACAAATCACTTCTTCCGTTGGCGCCGAATAGCTTGCGAGCCCGGAGTGTACCTACATTTGAAAATCCAATGTTTAAAACATTTTAAAAACAAAATGAGGGGAATCAAATAACATTTGAGAATGGAAAGCTCATTTTACCTCTTTTTCGCTGCCCAAGTGGATCGCAAGTTGTATTGTGTGGGTTGCGTCCCCTGAGGCGCGTCGGGAAGCTGCGACATGTCTATCTCCTCAACGTTTGGTGCGACGTAGTCCTCATCCTCCTCCTCGTCGTCGTCATCGTCGCTAGGTGGAGCCGACGCCTTCCCCTTTCCCCTCCCTTGCGGAATGCGTGACGACGACGAGCCACCAACTTCTTCACGCTCTTCTTCACGCTCTTCTATCCTCTTTTTTTAATCTTCAAATTTGAGTCAGCAACAAATTCTTCACCATCATACGGTGGCCACTGTGTGGGGTCGAGGTATGGCTCAAAGCGACTTGCCCATGTGTTCACAACGGCTCTTGAAGAGAAATGATACGGCATTCGGTTGGGAGATTCCTCATCAATTGCATGAATCAGATAAACGTGGATAAGATGTGAGCAAGGCATATGGTAGAGCAATGGCCTTTGGCAAGAACATGAGTTCCCCTCACCTTCAACTTTGAAGGCTCTTGCGCCGAATCTAACACCACCACGCGTTATACCACCCCTCTCTGTGACCTCATATGTCTTTTTCTGCTTATCGAAACACCTTGAAGTGTGTTTGTTCGCCTTACTTTTTTGCATCTTCATCTTACTAGCAACCTTGGTGGACCAACGCTCCCCTAACTGTACTCGCTTCACTGCTTCATGTCTGTTCACAAAGTAATCATTGCACTTCATAAATGTAAATGATACTATGGCCGTCACTGGAAGCTTACGAACACCAACTAGCATGCTATTGAACTGTTCGGCCATGTTGGTTGTCATGTAACCCCACCGGCGGCCATTTCTATCGTATGCACGAGACCACTTATCTTTATCCAACAACTCATCTTCAAGCCATTTACGAGGACCTTCGGGAATACGCTGCCTTAGTGCCTCAACATCCCTCTCAAATATCCACTTCTCGTTAATCTGACATATCCTTAGGAGCTCTTTTGTCTGATGCTTGTCCGCACCGGCCTTGTAGAAATTAGCACTGAAGTGCCTCATGCACCATCGGTGGTGAACCGGTGGCAATCCTGGAACAGGAGTCCTCATGGCATTCATTATACCAGCATGTCGATCTGAGATAATACAAACCTCCCTATGCGGCCCAACCACAATCCGTCGGACAAGATCGATAAACCAGCACTAGTCTTGTTAATTCTCTTTCTCCACCAAGGCAAAAGCTAAAGGTACAAGTTGGTCCTCTGCATCAGCTGATAATGCAGTCATCAAGGCACCACCGTATTTCCCAGTTAGGAAGGTTGCATCTATAGCTAGTACTGGCCTGCAATGCTTAAAAGCCTCAACGGAAGGACCAAAGCACCAGAATGCACGCATAAAAATTTTCTTGGTCACTCCATCAACGTTGACAACCCTATCAGGATGAGTATCGATGTGGTAGACCATACTGGGATTTCTCTGCTTAATGGCTTGCAGCAAAGTGGGCAAACGGACGTACGCTTCACCCCATTCACCGTAAATGAGCTTCATAGCCTCTTCTTGTGCCCTCCAAGCCTTGCCATACTTCACCCTATACTGGAAAACCTCAAATATATACAAAGCTAACGCAGAAGCAGAGAGTGTAGGTTGCAGTTTTATGGCATTGCATAACCTATTTGCTATGAACTTAGATGTCAGCTGCCGGTGGCTCCCTGAACCTTCGGCAGTAGCACAACTATGTTCCTTACCAACCCGTGATATCCTCCACGTGCCACTAGACCTCTTAGTTGCATGGACCTTCCATTTGCACCGTGGGTTTTCACATTTAACAGTGTACCTCCTATTTGCGGCAGAATTGACAACACGGTATGGACGATGGTGCACGATGGCGTACTCCTGAAGCCATAGCTTCAATGCGACCATGGATGGGAACTCTAAACCCTTTCTGAGACCATCCACCTAGAATGGTTCTGGCAACTGATCTAGGTTGATGCCGCCATCTAGTATTGCACCATGGGCATGTGTTAGGTCCCTAAACTCAGGAATGTCTGGCTTCCTCCCAAACACCTTCTCAAACGCACGACATTCCTCTAATGCTAACTTGTCATTGTTAGTTAGTGGAGGGAATGGACGGTCATCATCAGAGTCTTCAGCAAATTCAACATCATATTGCTCAACACTTGCCTCCTCGTCAACCTCCTCTCTATTGACTTCTACTGAGACAGAATCGTGACCACCACTCAATTCGACATCAAAGTAATCATCTGGATTCACATATTGGCTTGCTACTTCCGTCGGGTATTCAGGGTTGCCTCCGTACAACGACCAATGCACACTCTCCGACAAATGTTCACTTAGATCAAGCCCCTCTTGTACTAACTCCCTTTTCATCTCCCTCGCTGCATCCACATCATCACTACCGCAATGTCTCTTTGATGGTCCTGCCTCCCCTAAATCATTTCCAAGCAAAGGTCTCTTCTTATCTCCTTCCCCCTCCAAGTCTTCTCGTACCAACTCAGTCTTACTTGCACCCCCTCCACGGCGAGAAGAATATGTCACAAAATTCTTCTCAACGTAATGATAAGAAGGAGATTTGTTTAGATCCAAATTTTCTACGGTCCGTACCAACTTTGATGCAAACACCTCTAGAGATCTAAACTGAGACTCTTTTACCAAATCAAAGTAAACTTCCCATTCCAACTGACCTATCACATTTAATATATACTTATGCCCTTGACCAACATCGTATCTCCCATAAAAATGAATCTCCACATTATCCTCGGTCCATCCAAGAGCTTCTTTCACTCGTGACCTTAGTTCATCTAGAGTTGGGTGGGTGGGAAACAAAATGGTCTTCAATGACATATCCTCAAACTCAACATGTGCACCAACATAAGGTTCCACCACTTTACCACCGTAGTAAACACGAACAATTCTATCCATCTACACCAAAAAATCAAATGTAACTTTTCAACATAAATTAAATCTTCATTCCTAAACGTAGTCCAAACCGACATACTATAACCAATGCATAACTTAATTTGTCCCAAAGCTACTACTCCAAAAAAAAAATTTAATCTACCTACAACTATCAACAAGTTTACTAGTGCATTACACATCGAAATATTACAAATACTCCGTCATACAACCCAACCTAGTTCTAATTAACTATAATCAATTTCTATAATGCAACTAAAATTTTCTCCCCTTCATATAATTAATGGTTAAAAGTTTAACCTATAGGCTATAGCATCAAGTCCATCAAATTAAAATTACTTTCATGGCTCAACCCTAATTTTTCATCCATCCATCCAACCAAACAATCCAAAAATTAACATTACCACATATATGGTTAAAAAAATCATGACACCAATGAGTACATTGCAAACATGTAGCACTACAACAAGTAAATCCCAAGAACAAATGCTAAAAATCACAAATTTGGGCTAAAAAGGGGTTCTAGGGTTACCCTTCGATCTACAAATTCAACCAATAAAAACGAAAAAAAAAGAGGGGGGAATGGAGGAGTCTACATTTCTCTTCGATTTCTACAAAAAATCCCGCGAAAAACGAGTTCAAATGGAGTGGATTTGAGGTGGGGAGGTGAGGGGGAGAGAGAGGGGGAGAGCTGCTGCTGCTCAGCTCGGGCTGATGCTTGGGCGAAAATGGGAGTGGGGAGGAGAAAGGTGGTGGGGCCCACGGGGTTTAAGGGGGCGGCCCACAGAGAAGGGGCGGCGCCAGTGTGGCTAGCGCCCCCCTTCTGCCTAGTCAGCACCTCTACGCCAGCCCTAGGGCCACAGTGGCACGGGCACGGCGCCAGTGTGGCTGGCGCCGCCATGTTGGGGTACGGCGCCAGCCACTCTGGTGCCCCAAAAAGGACTATTTCCGGTTTAAGTTTTTCTAGAGGTCTATTTGTAAAATAAGTTTTCAAAAAGGACTAAAATGTAAAAATTTCAGCAGGTAGCACCGTAGCAGCACGGTCACGGGTTGAGCACTTGAGCTAGTGGTGGTGGTCAAACTCAAACGAAGCATGCGTCCACCGTTCCACCGGCTATAGCAGAAGCTATACCACCCAGCAAGGGCAAAGCATCTCTGCTGCTTGGCTGATCCGTCCCATGGCTGTACTAGTATGTGCCTGTGTATAGTGGATTCATTGGGGCAAAAGTCAAACGGCCAGGCTGGGTTTGTACAGGATTGACAAACTAGCTCCATGTTATAATTATCTACGCCTCCAGTCTAAAGAAAAACAAATCCTAGATAAAAATATGTCCAGATATATATAAGTAGATAAAAATTATTTTTTCTTGTTAGAGGAGTACTTCCTCTATTTAATATTATTAGTTACTTATTTGATCTTGTTTCGAAACCTACGTATTAATCTGACTCTGTTTTTTTTCTAATTTGCATATTTGACCTGTTTTTTCAAAATCAAACATTACATTTGACTCTAATTCCACTACATCATTAGAGTATCGTTTAGAATAAAATGCGAATGAGTAGGGTTAAGGTGTCTTCGTGTGTATTTTGTTCAATTTGGCAATCTTGCTAAAATTTTAACAACCTTACCACCGAAATTTGATAATATCGAAATTTGGTAAGGTTAAAAATAGTAGCAAAGTGAATAAGCCCGAAGTTAAAAATTTGTTGAGTGGAATTGCGAGTTTTGTTTGTTTTGAAGTTGGAACATCAGAAAAGAAAAACAATTTTCTGGAGTAGTAGTAGTCTACTATATCCGCAGCGTGAGTGCGTGACGGGTGGGGCCAGGGTTCATAGACCTGGTCTATACAGGGCAACGGCTAGAAATAAGATAGAGGAGACACACAGACACAGGAAGAGACAAGAAGCAAACGCGACGCGTCTCGGCGAGTGAGAGGAGGAAGCAAACCCTAGCCGCCGTCGCAACCCTACTCTCGTTCGTCCGTACGTCGGTGGCATGGCGGCTATGGCGCTGCGCTCTCTCGTGAGGAAGGTCATGCCCGTCCCGGCTGCTCTCCGCCGGGCGCCGCCGTCATCGCGCTCCCTCCACCACCTCGAGGTTGTTTCTCTTCCTTTCCCCTTCTCAACTTCCTTATTTCTGTCAGATCCCGCGATAGGTTCTAGTCACCATCCTCGCGCAATTACGCCACCTCGCTCGCCGGGCTCAGGATCTGCTTCTTGTTTCCGCGATTCGATTCACCTCGCGCTTCGCCCCTACCCCGATTAGCGTCCAATTTGGGGGAAAATTTTCGATTTCTTCCAAGTTTCTTCTTTTCCGTAATCATTTGCTTCATGGCCTGCCTGATGTTAACTTTTGTGAAACACAAGCAGAACTGGGTTCCCCCTCCCGCGAATTATTACTTGTCTGAACCTAAAATTTATGCTCCGAGATTGATAATCCTTGAATTCTACCGGAATTTGATACCCTGCCTCTGCATGTATATGCTGTTGTCTCTTAATTGTTCGCTTGCTAAGCCATATGAGTAGTATATTGTTAGACTGTATGGATTGGATCGTGTAGTTTGTTATGATACATAGAATTATTTTCCCTTTCTATCTACATTCTTTTATATATGCTAGTAGTATTTAACAGCTGGAGTAGTATCTTTGGCTACACAAGTGCAAGATGTAACACTTCAGTTACATCAGGGTATGTGCAACTGACTAAATGAGCAACTTATTATGTCTTCCTTCCCCTTCCCTATTTCTGTCAGATCCTGCAATATGTTTAGTCACCATCCTCGCGCAATTTGGCCATCTCGCTTCCTGGGCTCAGGATTTGTTTTCTTGTTTTCGTGATTCACCTAGTGCTTGCCCCCAAACCAAATTAGAGCCCAATGGGGGAAAAGTTTCACTTTTTTTTCTATAAAAAGTTCTTCTTTTCTGTACTCATTTGCTTCATTGCTTGGATGATGTTAACTAGGTTTAACACAAGCAAACTGGTTTTCCCGTCAATTATTAGTTGTTTCAACCTAAAATTTATGCTTCGAGATTACACCCTTTAATTCTACCAGCATTTCAAACCCTGCCTCTGCATGCATACTGTTATGTCTTAATTGCTGGCTTGCTAAGCCATATATACCATGCAGTAACAACTATAGTAACTATGGCTAAGCAAGTGCAAGATGTTACAGTTCATAAGGTACGCACGATTGACTAGTTATGATGTTAATTGCTAGCCCCTCCTCTGCTGTTTGGTAGCTTGCACTTGGCAATGCCTAGCAATCTGATTCTGTTTCTTCCTTCATGTGGAATTGTAGGATAAGCTGCGTGGCACGACATCTCCCAAGACTACAGCTCCTCCTGGCAATGGCAGGGGCAGCTATTTCAAAGACAATCATCCGACTTTTGCTGAATTGGTTCAACGAGATACAGATCGGAGGAGCTTCAACAGGATGTTGGTGGCAGGTGCTGCTTCAGGCTATGCTGTTGCCCTTGTCATTATGTTATCTCTTCGCCGTAGTGTGAAGGAAGATCTTCGCAATAACATCTACGACTAGCAGCTTTACCCACCTGTCTAGGGGCTATTTATTTCTATTTTTGTGTGTGACTCTGCCTATAATGGCATGTGTTTAATGTGGCATGCATGTGACATGTCTTTATGTAAGACTAATTATCGGTGTAATGTATTGTTGTTGCACTCTATGCATTGGTACCCTATATATCTGCTGTTTGCAAGTAGATGCTATGAAGTAACGATTTGTTATGGATGATCTGTACGCAACATTACTTAGGGTTTTTGGATGAGCTTAATTAGTTCTGTGTTTATATATTATGGATCACTGTTATGGTATCATGAGTCATGACCAAGTTGCTGCTGTTTAATTTGCATTACCTCTGGAGCTGTGATATCAGTTTCGCTACTTTCTTGCTTGAGAATTATTGCTTGGGATTTTCATTTTGAAAACTGTTTAATTTGTCAAGTTTGTTATTTCCAACCGAGTTGTTGGTCATGATATATGGATTTTTAACTGTGTTGCTGATTAAGTGGTTTCGGTTAGCTTAGATACGGTTAACTTGAACTGTCAATAGTTGCAATTTGCAACACACATTCAACTCAGTGTTCACCATGTGGTTGTTTGCAATGTTTTCTATCAATACCATCCACTGCATCTCCTTTTGGTTTTGTTCAGCGTCTTGTGCTGTTAGCAACCAGCAGGGACAACGATACGACCATATTCAACTGACGCAGGTTCCACTATTATGATTTTTAGTAGCATATGAATGAATTAGGAGGACTTCATGGCTACTGCCAAGATAAATTGGAGACATGTTGATAAACTGACGTGTGGGCTCAGAAAATCATAGGATTGATGCTGTCCATGTACTTGCTGTTTCTTTCTGTTGCATTGCATTCGTTAGTTTTTTTTTTGTTTGCAGAAATATGTGTGGGCTTAATCTTTTCTGAGATCTGTATGTTAGGTTTACTAAATAAAAAGAAGTATGCTCCATTCTTAACAATTGTGTACTATTTAGCTTTTCTTTTTTAGATGCCTCTGGGTTTTTTTTTAATTTCTGAGGTTTGTGAATTTTACTATCTGGAGAACTCCAGAAACAGTTGAATCAGGTGCAAAAATGGCACATATATATAATACATGCTAGGACAAGCTATTTTATTTGAAGCAGCTGGCAACTAAGAATAAATAGGAATGTGCAATAGAGGATACTTGTGGAGGCTACTGTTGTGATATACTAGTATAAATAAGAATGCAAGACCAACTAGGAAGAATGCCACGAGGAGTGTGCAGCACACTTGTGTAATGTGCAGTGTAGTGGCCCTCTGTTAAAATGTACTAACAAGTAAACGTAGGTCCAGATATGCCTCTGAAAGTTGTTATGTTTTGAGATGGAGATAGTACTTATTTACAGTATACATAAGACAATGACATGTGTAGTAATCCTAAGTTCTTCTAAAACCTCGGTATTGATTCCTATCAAAATATCCCAGTATATCATATGCCATTACAGTAGATGACAGTAATTTTTGCTTCTCATACAGCAAAATCACATGACAGTAGTTTTGTTTCTCACACAACAAAATCACAAACCCCCAAACCCCCCTCCCCTCCCCTTGTAGGCCATCTCAATATTCACTCCTAGGCATGTCCAACTCCAAAAGATTGCTATATGTTGGGAGTAAAAGAGAGGAAATCACATGGCATCTCAGTAAAAAATTAGAGGAGATCAACATCATAAAGAGTTACCACATATATCACAGCAGCAGCAGTAGGTGACTGAGTTCCATAAAGAGTACTGTAGTAGATTGCCATAGAGCTAGCAGGATGATCATTACATACTCCTAGGAAGCATTGGTGTGGGTTACAACCAATGGTGCTGCATAGTCTCATCCATCTTGCAACATTACATATTACTAGTACTAATCATGGAAATTGTTACTGCTAGGGAATGAAGATAACAGGTACTAAACTCCACAAGTAAAGATACTAATACTCTAGACACTAGCTAGTACTCAGGCAATGATGTGATATATGTGGATCTCTACTTGGCGCTTGGAGTAGCAACCGTGGTGCTGTTGTTGGAGTCCTCCTCCTTTGTGCGGAACCAGGAGTCCCGGTAGGACTTGAGGGTGAGGGCCCTGATCAGGCAGCCCATTGATTCGGTCCATGCCTCCTGCACGTACCGGTTCCTCACCTCTCGAACCCTCTCCTGTTGGGCGAGATCGAGAAGTGTGGCTTCGGCTTCATCCATGAAGTCGGTTTTGACAGCCTTGAACTCTTTTCCATTGAGGAAGTTGACCACAGTCATCTCCCCAACTGTGAGCGCGTAGTCAAAGAATCCAATCACCAGAATGGAGACTGCAGCCAGAACAAAAACACAGACAAGGAAGACTTGGTACAGAGGTCGGGGGGCCTTGAGCAGCTTCTTGCTCGACAGACACTCGGCTGTGTGCGCTTTGATTGCATCCTCTGTTATCTTCATCTGCGCGCGGAAGGCGTCCTCCATCTCCTTCAACGCCTCCGGCGGCGCCTGGCACGGCCACCCGCCCCTTGTCCCATAGGTGCGGCGAGCCACACCTGCAGTTGTCGGCGGCGACGCGGGAAGGCTGCACTTCTCCGCCGCCGCCGCTGGAGATGGCCGACGACGAGTAGGGCAACCCACCGCCACCGGCGCCGAGCTTGAGCTTGCCTGACGGAGCCAGGATCTGGGCCAGACCAGGCTTGAGGCCGAGCCCTAGAGGTTGCGCTCCGGGCACCTGGTCGCGCGCCACCGCCGCACGTCCCGGCGCGCCTTCTCCACCCCCGGCTTGGCGCCTGCGTCTTGACGATCGACGGCCGCCGGAGGGAGGGCGGCGAACTTGATGACCTTGGGGACGTGGTCGAGGGTGGCCAGCGCACGACCCGCCGCGCTGTCCACGGCCGAGCTGGCGACCCCGCGGCCGCCGACGAGAGCCATCGCCGCGGTCGCCCGGCTTTTCTTGGCCACGCGCAGAAGGAGGGCCATGGGCGACGGCGAGGGTGGAGGGGCGCGCCGCCGGCGGGTAGCTTCTCCGGCCTCCGGGAGAGGACTAGCCTAGCCTAGGGTTTCGCCGCCCTCGCCTGGAGGCTTTGGATTCGAAATGAGCGCCTCCGCGTCTCTTGTCCTAATAATTGAGGGAGGGACGGAGGGAGGGAGGGACAGCTGGGCACTTTCTAGAGTATTCCTACCTTGCATATTTGGTGGTAAAGGAAAAATGAATACGGTAGAGAAAAGAAAAAAAATTATAGGATTGATCAATGGGATCCATCATATTACGATTAAAAAAATCCCTTACAATTCAGGAAATTAACCCTACCGTACATGACAGGAGCGTGTTTGAGGAAATTACTTATCTAGTTTTATGTTTTATATACCGTGAGACGAATGGAGTAAATTGAAGTAATTGCAGTAGATAGTAGTGGCAACTCGATTTGTCATGCCAATAATTTATTACTAGGTTACATAACTAAGCTAACCAGAATTAAGCTTTTAATTAGCTGGGCATTAATTGTACTCCGAAGCACCCCCACAACTCCTATGAGGTATACTACTCACTCCGTTTCAGGTTATAAAATGTTTTGACTTTGGTCAAAGTTAAAGTGCTTTAAATTTGACAAGTTTATAGAAAAAAGTAATATTTTTTATCTAAGATAAATATATTATAAAAATATATTTAATTATTAATGTAATAAAATTAATTTGGTAATGTAAATATTACTATATTTATCTATAAACTTAGTCAAATTTGAATGAGTTTAACTCTGACCAAAGTCAAAACAGCTACTACGTTTGGATCTTTCTCCCATCTTGCTTAGTCGGGTGAGGATAAGTTAGCCCGGCTGAGCTATAGCTCGAAGTAGCCAGGCTTATTGTTTGGTTCTGCCGGGCAAATAAGCATGCTCATGTGATAGTAAAATGGATGATTTGACTAGTAAGCAAGTCCTCAAGCGAAGAAAAAACGATCCATATGCATTGGCCGGACTCTAGCCTAGAGAAGAATAAACAGTCTAATTGATGATTTTTAATATGATTACAAAGAGCCACTCACAGAGGGTTTGGTGCAACCAGACGATCGCTTGCCCACTCGGGAGAGCCGATTTGGCTCTCCGCCGGGAGCAAGCTTTTTTGGGCGGTTATAGCCCACATTGCCTGGCAAAGCAAGTTTTTAATCGCTCTACCAAACACCTCGCTTTGCTAAGCTAATTAAGGCTAGGATTTGGTTTGCCAAGGATCCAAACGTGCCCCTAATAACATGAAACGGAGGGAGCACTAAAATGCTTCATTCATAGTGTAATTTTGGCCCTTTCAAACAAATGATTGGACACGCTCTTTCTTTTGGAACATGGGAATTTGAAAGCACGGGATTATGATGCCACGCTTTTTGAATTCCTGCCGAAAATTAGAAACGCTTCAAACAGTCGTGTAGACATAACACATGAAAAAAAAAGAGAGGGGAGAATAGCTACTTTAGTCCCTAACCTTTTAAATGGTCCAAAAAAATTCTTAAACTTTGTTATAAGGCCTAGAATAATTCTTGGGTCCACCAAAATCATCATATGGATATGCCATGTCATCATTCATGCAAAATCAATGATGAATTGTCCAATTTACCCTTACATATATCATAAAAAAATAAATATTAGTGTGAATTATACATAACCATAGGAAAAAAATACTTCTCCTTTTTTTTTCACTCTTTTGAGGTATATTTCTGCTCTTACATATACCATATTTTTTAAAAACTTTTTTCTTTTGTTTTTATTTTCCTATGATATATGTGAGGGTAAATTAGATAAATCATATAGATTTTACATAGGAAGGTGACGTACGTGGTATGTCCATATGGCGATTTTGGTGGGACTAAGGACTATATCAGCCCACATGACAAATTTAAAGAACTTGTTTAGACAATATAAAAGATTAAGGACTAAAATGACCCAAAAGCGAAACTTTAGGAATCTTATTGGCTATTCTCCCAAAAAAATTCAGCAATTGCGGGCACAATAAGAGAGGATTTTCAAATGAAACTTTAGGAACCAACCATCTGTTCCAAATGGCTTCATAGTTAGGCAAGTTTGACTTTTTGGTGTAAATGTTTGGTTGAAGCCAAAGTTTTGGTATGCCATACTTTTCTACTCTCATGGCCCACATGTCATACACTCACTTGTTAAAAAAATTGCCGCTAGTGTGGCTCTCTTTTTTGTGCCACAAAAACTATATGGCATACCACACTTGTAGCATAGAAGTTTGGTAAAGTGAGTAATCTATCCAAACAGCCCCTCAAACCGTCCAATAATACTTCATAATATTTCCTTTGTCCCGAAGGTGTCCTAATAATCCTACAAAAGTTAATTTTTAGACAAAATTTAACATAAGAGATACGGTATACCAATCATTTTTAGCGTGTTCGTTATGCCATCGAGTGAAACGGTTACTTCTGTATTTTTTTTCCCGTGCGTGTATAATTCAATGGTTTACCCTTACATTCATGTTAACATACTGTGTTTTTCTTATTTTCTTAATTCTGTTTTTTTGGTTTTAAGAAAATTGCTATGTATTCATCTCAAATCCATGCGATGACAATTGAAGTTTAGTAGTGACTTTTTTTTAATCTTTTGTCACTCGAAAACTTAAGATGTGCACAAGAACATCTTCACCCATGATCAACAAGACCGGCGTACTGTATAGTTTGTCCATAAACTATAGTTTTGGTTGGTCACTTCATTTTTCGGTTCGTTAATTTAATTTTCTAGTCGAGGGTCAGAGTCCGGACTCTGGACTCCGGAGCTAGCGGGATTTGATTGGCGGTAGCTCGTCTCGTGCAAGCACTTAACAGTAGCTGTAGCTCCGGCCCCTCTCCTTGTAGCGCTTATCTCACATCACTTCAATTTGTGTCAAAAGTATCAAGATGGACGATTATCCGTGCCAGCAGATGGATGTCCTCTCTCAATCTCTGGAGTAGCATCATGGAGTATCCATCGATCAGGTCACATTGTGTGCCAGAAGGATGTTCCAGAGCCGAGAAGGATGGAGTTAGGCCCCGCTCTTTTCTCTAACGAAAATTGGATACAAATTTGATATTCGTGGTACATTTTTTAAACTGCTAAATAGTGTGTTTCATGTAAAAACTTTATATAAGGAAGTTGCTCTAAAATATCAGATAAACATATTTTTCAAGTTTATAATAATTAAAGCTCAATTAATCATACGTTAATACTACCTTGTTTTGTGTAAAACACTTAATCTTCATCTTCATCTATATGAGTTTCAAACACCAGCTACGTTAATTCCTCCGTCTTAAAAATAGATAACTGTTAACGACCAAAATTGGTAATATCAGCATCGGAGAGAAAAGTTAGATCGAAGCTGAATCTAATATGAGGATTGTCACGGATTTTCATCAACAATAACCTAGACAATGAATCTGAATATGAGGTTATCTAAATTCCTTATCTTTGATGGTGTCAAATCTTCATCTAGCTTATGTTTTTTGGATGGAGAGAATACTAGTACTACTTCCACCGTCAAAAAAAACCAAAATCCTTACTAGTTTGATTTTTTATATATAGGATGGAGAGAGTAGCAGATTAGCAGCTAGGCTTACTGTAGTCACGTGTTTTACTTGCACGGGGTAGTATTTCCAGTAGCCAGTTTGGTTCCAAAGTCCTGCAAACATTTCATTGTGTAAGTTGTCAAATTTAGACAAATTTTAAGTAAGACTGAAAATTTAAAATTTATCAGGGGTATATTGAAAATGACAGCTTTGTTTGAAGACAAATTTGTGCATATATACAAACACACACACATATGTGTGTGTAGGTTTTACCGAAATTTTATTATGACGGAAATTTTCTTTTGTTTCTTTGCGAGGATATCTCTACTGCTATAGAATTTTTAAAGTTGTTTCTAGCTACGACGTGCGCAATCGATGAGTTGGTGTCTAATTAAGCATTGGTCGATCGTGCCTCACATATACTGAATCTACCGATAACGAACATGCTGATTTTATTTCTTAATTTTTACTCACTCCGCTTTATATTATTAGAAGTTTTACCGGGAAAATTAGCATAATTTTTCCATTTACGGTATAAGGTTTGCACTGTTTGAGCCATTTACAGTTGTTAGGAAAATTAAAGCATATCTTTTTCTCATGCTCGTTGAATGTTTGTTTTAGCTAAATGGAATCAACATAAAATTTCCGTTAGATACTTTTCATGATATGAATTATGATAAGGTTTATTATAATTTTATGTCATTATTTATGATTTTTTTATCATTTCTGTCCAAAGCTGACGTGGTTTCAACGTATGGTTTCCTTCCGCCATTTGGTTTAAATTAAGAGTGTGTGATGCGAAAGCGATAGTCAACCACTCGAGCCAAAGTCATAATCCGTTACTCACAAAATACTACACATATACAAGGTGTTATAAACCCGATCAAATAGTTTTTCCGTTGTACTCCCTCCATCCACAAAAGTTATACCTATTTCACATTTGAGTTTTTCCAAATAAGTTGTCCTATTTATAATCTTTATACATTCAATACTTAAATGAAGAGATAAATTAAATGTTTTATTAGAACCTAAGGAGTCATCTAAATACTCATTGGTTACATGCTTACATTCACTCTTTGATTTTGAAATATCCAAGTTGATTTAATTTCTGCTTGGTCTTATCGACAAAAGTAATTGGTGTAACTTTTATGGATGGAGGGAGTAACGCATGATCACTCTGCTCTGCTTCTTCTTATTATGATACTCCCTCCGTCCCAAAATAACTCAACCTAGGAGGGAATGTGTCTAATGAAGCTGGACACCCTTTTATCCAGATTCGTTGTCCTAAAAGGGGTCACATCCTCTTCTAGGTTAAGTTTTTATGGGACGGAGAGAGTAGATCACTAGGAGAGTGACTTGGTGTCATGCACGTATCGCACAAACCGGTCAGACCGGATATCTAGCTGGCGGACCTGTCATATCACATCGATTTGGTTAAAGCTCAAAACCGGACCAACAGTCTCCTGCACAAACCGGTAAAACGGTTATTATCCGATGGTGCAATCATGCCATTTGTTTTTCCTTTTGGCAACATAA